ATAAGCCAGCATGATGTCCATATAGGAGAGATGACTGTAAGAGAAACATTGGCATTCTCCGCAAGATGCCAAGGAGTCGGAAGTAGTCATGGTTTGTTGCCGACTCTTGATCTTTTGGATAAATAATTTTTAAAGAAAGGAATATCCTTATCCTGGTTGTCTTTTACGTTGAATTTTTTTGCAGAAGTTCTGGCAGAGTTGTCGAGAAGAGAAAAGGGAGCAAACATAAAGCCTGATCCTGATGTGGATATGTACATGAAAGTAAGAATAGTTTCTATGATATTTAATGCAGTTTTGATGCTTACTTGTGATGCTCGGAAACTTTTGCATTTCAGTCGTGAAAAATTGAAAGAAAGTTTAGCTTGAGCTAAGTCTGTTCCTTATCATACATATATAGATAGCAGGTATGGAAGGACAAGAAGCAAATGTTGTCACGGATTATATTATTAAGGTAGTATAAGAAATTTAAATAAAATATTGAGAATTTAGGACATATTTCATACTGAACGTATATGTATCTTGCAGGTTCTGGGATTGGATATTTGTGCCGATACTATGGTAGGAGATCAGGCAATTAGGGGAATCTCTGGAGGTCAGAGAAAACGTGTTACTACAGGTTAAGATATCGCCTTTCTGCAAAAAAAAGATTTAATTGTCGGGCTCAAGCTATTTCTTAAAATTCTCGCTTTGTCTATTTCACAGGGGAGATGTTGGTTGGACCAGCCAAGGCACTTTTCATGGATGAGATATCCACTGGCTTAGACAGTTCCACCACTTTCCAAGTCGTGAACTCGATCGGACAATTTGTCCATATCCTCAACGGCACCGCTCTTATTTCGTTGCTCCAGCCAGAACCCGAGACTTACGATCTTTTCGATGATGTCATTCTGATTTCCGAAGGGCGGATTGTTTATCAGGGACCACGAGAGAACGTGCTCGAGTTCTTCCAATCAATGGGCTTCAAATGCCCCGAGAGAAAAGGGGTGGCTGACTTCTTGCAAGAAGTACGAATACGGGACAACAAAGAATTCATGAGCCTTTTTTTTAGTATCTTCTTACTGTAAGTTGTAATAACCACTTTCACTGATACAGGTAACGTCAGAGAAAGACCAGCAGCAGTACTGGAGCGACCGTTACAAGCCTTACAGATATATCACAGCAGGAGATTTCGCTGAAGCGTTTAAGTCATTTGAAATCGCACAGAAACTAATTACGGAGTTAGCAGAACCTTTTGACAAGAGTAAAAGCCATCCAGCTGCTCTGGTATCTGGAAAATACGGTGTTAGCAAAATGGAGCTACTAAAGGCTTGTGCCTCAAGAGAAATCTTGCTTATGAAGAGAAACATATTTATCTACATCTCGAGAATCATAAGGGTCAACATTTTTTTTATTATTTTATTATTTTGGATTTAGGATGTGTTTAGAATTATAATGATTTCTTGAGTATTTCTGTAGCTTGCTATAATGGGTTTCATTGTCATGTCTCTCCTCTTCCGTACAAGAATCCACCACGACTTTAACGGTGGGCGCTTGCTTGCTGCCGGTCTTTATTACACTCTCAGCACTATCATGTTCGGCGGAATCGCCGATATATCCATGACCATCCAGAAGCTTCCGGTATTCTACAAGCAAAGGGATCTTTTCTTTTACCCTGCTTGGGCTTATGGTCTTCCGTCATCGATAATCAAAATCCCTGCTCAAGCTGTTGAAATAGCTGCCTTTGTGGTAATCACATACTATGAAATTGGATATGACTCAAACGTTCGAAGGCAAGCAGCCCATTTTTTAATAAATGCCCGTTTTAAAGATTTAGCTATTTCTTGTGAATATTAATATTAGTCCAGAATGCATCTTGCAGATTGTTCAAGCAGTATTTGCTGCTCTTACTTGTACTTCAAACAGCATCTGCACTGTTCCGATGGATTGGAGCGGTTGGTAGGAATATGGTTATTGCAAACACGTACGGCTTTTTTCTGATGCTCCTAAATCTTTCAATGAGTGGTTTTGTCCTTTCAAGAGGTATTATTAGATGTTTATTATGGATTCATATTATGCTTCTCATACTTAGACAGATTTAGTTCCTCGTTTTTTTGTTCATTTTTTATCAACGCTTTCCAGAAAATGTAAAAAAGTGGTGGTTATGGGGTTACTGGTCCTCAGCAGTGATGTATGCAGAAAATGCGCTTATTGTGAACGAATTCACGGGGTATAGTTGGAGAAATGTATGTTTAAACGTATTTGAATATGCTTTTTGCATCCAAATATTGCTTTTCTTTTGCAATCTTATAAAGCTGATATTCCGCTTTACTTCTCAAAGATTTCCTCAAAAACCAATGTGCCGTTGGGAGTTGAGGTTGCGAAGTCTCTAGGATATTTTCCCCAAGCATACTGGTACTGGATAGGATTTGGGGCATTGTTTGGCATGGTGCTTTTATTCAACTCGTGTTACATTCTCGCTCTCACGTATTTAAGCCGTGAGTATATAAAATTTCTCCATCTTAATAAAAATCTTTGATTGTTGGAAGTTCGTGATTTAATGTATTCCCTGATATATTCAAGCACTGGGAAAGCCTCAAGCTATTCTGCCACAAGTACTCACAAAGAATGAGAATGATAATGATAATGATAATGATGTTGTAACTGAAGAGAACGGTAAGTTGTTTTTAGTAAGAACTTTGCTACTTATTTTCATCCCAGAAGAAAATAAACTTGTACGTTTGAAATTTTTTATTTTTGTGCGTTACTTTATTATGTCTGAATATTGAATAAAACCCAGGGAGGAATGATCGAAACAGAAAGAGGGGTGGAGTCGTTCTTCAGTTCGAACCACACTCGATCACATTTGATGAGGTCAAGTACTCTGTAGAGATGCCGCAGGTAACTTGGAAAGAAAAAAAGTAAAAAAAATTAAACATTCAAGGAAATAACTTTTCAAAAATGACTTGCAGGAAATGAGAAACAGTGGTGCCGGTGAAGATAGAGTGGTTCTTCTGAAGGGTGTTAGTGGGGCTTTTAGGCCAGGTGTTCTCACTGCTCTCATGGGAGTTAGTGGGGCCGGTAAAACCACACTTATGGATGTTTTAGCCGGTCGAAAAACAAGTGGATTCATTGACGGTAATATTACAATATCTGGTTATCCGAAAAAGCAAGAGACATTCGCTCGGATTTCTGGATACTGCGAACAAAACGACATCCATTCTCCCTGTGTCACAGTTTACGAGTCGCTTCTTTTCTCAGCTTGGCTGCGTTTGCCCCCAGATGTTGATTATGAAACCAGAAGGGTTAGTTTTATATTTACTGAAATCTAATACTTCATTGGAGGATTAATCAATTAGAAATCAAGACATCTTATTATTATTTCTGACCGGATCACAGATGTTAGTGGAGAAGGTCATGGAACTTGTAGAACTAACTCCATTAAGTGGAGGTTTAGTTGGTCTACCTGGAGACAGTGGTCTATCGGCAGAGCAGCGTAAGAGGTTGACCATTGCAGTTGAGCTTGTGGCAAATCCATCAATCATATTCATGGACGAGCCGACTTCAGGCTTAGATGCAAGAGCTGCTGCAATTGTGATGAGAACTGTCAGAAACACTGTTGACACTGGAAGGACAGTTGTCTGCACTATTCATCAGCCTAGTATCGACATTTTTGAATCTTTCGACGAGGCAAACAAAACTGAGAACTAGAATTACCTTTTTTTCTAATATAGTGTTTGATTTAAAAAAAATAAAAAAAAATAAAAATCATGAAATTGGTAGTGTTTGGAATATGCAGCTATTCTTGATGAAGCTAGGAGGGCAAGAGATATACGTAGGGCCATTGGGCCGACATTCTTGCCATTTGATCCACTATTTTGAGGTAAGAACTCAAGAACTAACTACTTGTGTATCGTATTTTTTTTTTATAAAACATAGTACTATGTTACATTCTGGTCTTAATCTCTTATACAGGGAGTTGAGGGAGTAACGAAAATCAGGGATGGTTACAATCCAGCAACGTGGATGCTCGAGGTTACTTCTTCAAAGCAAGAAATGATTTCGGGTATTGATTTTGCACAAGTGTACAGAAACTCAGAACTGTACAGGTCAGTTCGTTTTTCGATGAATACTCTAGTTCGTGCATATTTTGAGCATTATTGCTAATGACAGATTTGTGCATGATTGTTCAGGAGGAATAAAGATCTGATCAATGAGTTAAGTAGGCCTAAACCCGGTGCAATAGACCTGTATTTCCCAACTCAGTATTCACAGCCTCTGTTCACTCAATGCATCGCTTGCCTATGGAAACAACATTCGTCATACTGGAGAAATCCTTTATATTCTGCAGTAAAAATCTTGTACACAACTTTCATAGCATTGATTGTCGGTTCGATGTTCTGGGATCTTGGTTCTAGAAAGTAAGCAGAGCAAAATTTTATTTGTTATTGACCTCGGTAAAAAAATAAAACCGACTGTTTTTGCTAATTCTTTGCAGGGGTACTAAACAAGACATTTTCAATGCTATGGGCTCTATGTATGTTTCTGTTTTTCTTCTCGGGATGCAAAGTGCCTCGTCTGTGCAGCCAATTGTAGCTATCGAACGAACGGTATCTTGTCGGGAAAGGGCAGCTGGCATGTATTCTGTCTTGTCGTTTGCCTTCGGACAGGTGACTACAATTTAGGATACTAAGAAATACAACCACCTTAACCAACATATGTTGTTTCTAAGTTTTGCTACATTTGTACAGGTTGTTGTTGAAATCCCGTATATTTTTGCTCAGACGGCTATATTCGGGACCATCGTATACGCTATGATGGGATTCGAGTGGACAGCTCAAAAATTCATGTGGTATATTTATTTCACCTTCTTCACACTATCCTACTTCACCTTTTTTGGCATGATGGCAATAGCCATGACTCCAAATCAACAAATCGCAAGCATTATATCGGCTACATTTTACTCGTTCTGGAATCTCTTCTCCGGATTCGTGATTCCAAGACCAGTAAGTTCTTTCACTCGAGTTATTAAAAAAAAAACGTATTATTTTCTTTTATTTTTTTTTTATTTTTTTGGAAACAGAGTACACCTATGTGGTGGAGATGGTACCACTGGGCGAGCCCCGTGGCGTGGACATTATACGGTTTGGTCGCAACGCAGTTTGGGGATGTTAAGGATGAGTTGGATCAGACAGGCAAATCCGTTGGAGATTTCGTGACGAGTTATTTCGGGTTCAGACGTGATTTTGTTGGTGTTGTTGCTGTTGCGGTTGCTGGATTTGCTGTTCTTTTTGCTGTCTTGTTTGCATTATTCATCAGGGTGTTCAATTTCCAGAGGCGATAAATAGTTCTTCTTCATCGGAGATTCTTGAGACCGGTTCTAAAAGCTCGAGCCGAACTTCATATATTATCGAATGAAAAATGTAATAACATTAATAAAAAATCATCATGATTATTTGAGAAGTTAAAACTGACTCCAAAGTAATTAATATTGTCAATAACACAATAATTAATTATGTAATTAGTAACTACACATGTAATTAATTATTTAACATTCCATAGCTTTTTCCAGCTGAAATTATACCCTTTCTTCTTCTTCTCCAACAGCTTCTCAATCTGCTTTTCCATGTTCATGCACTGGCATTGGAGCACAAGTACGTCTTCCTTCAACCTCTTTATCTCCATCTGCGTGATAGTCTCTCTCTTCGACACGCACCGGGCGGGCCCATCCAGCCCGAACATTCCCGGGCTGCGGGCCCCAATGAGGGACCCGCTCCAGTCGATGTTCTTCACGATCTTGTTCTGCTCCGATAGGAGCACTTGGATCACCGCCCGAACGGGCAGCCTCTCGTTTTGTGCTGCGTGGTGAGACGCCTCTGCCGAAAGCTTTCTGCTCTCGATTAGACCCCACACTCTCTTCCTCTCTTGCTTTGTCAATCCTGGATGTGCCTGTGTGTACAGTGGCGGAGCCAAAATTTTATGTCTCGAGAAGCTAAATAAACACCAACAATTTTCTAGGAGTTGACAATGCTAACATAAACGAAAATTAATAAATATTTATTAAAAGATATTACTATTGGGGGGCCATGGCCCCCAACTCCGCATACTACACATGTATTCAATTAAAAAAGACATGCATTAATTGAGACAAAATCTTGATTTGTAATTAATAAAAAAATGTTTTTTTTTTGGGGTGTTATATTCAATATATAGTATTGAAAGGTATGTATCATGTATATGGCATTATTATTACCTAACTTAAAACCCTATCTTGTTAACTCTTTCGCATGAAGAATCTTGTGTTGGTGACTACTCAATGTAGCCCTCACTTTTGAGTAATTTATATATTGTCCTTCAATTTTCCACTACGCCCCCCGTTCGATACGCTGATTTGATCGATTTTGATATATTACTAATTGTTTTAATTTGAAAATCCGACATAGAGTTGATTTAATAAACCGAAATGATTAAACATCAAATCATCACTAAATTAGTGGTTAATTGTACGAGTTTATTGCATTCAGCACCTATATATTTAGTTTAATTGCTAAAAAAAAATCCGTATTATAAATATTAGCAAAAGCCTCTTATAATGCAATTTTTTTAGCAAAATATCCCCTAAAAACTAACTATTTAGGGGTTGTGTGCTAAACAAAACGCATTATAGGGGGGTCATTGCTAATATATGTAACACGGAGGATTTTTTAGCAATTAGATATAACATAAGGGTACTAAATGCAATTAACTCTTAATTTGCAAGAGTAGAACTTACTTTGAGGTATGTATCAATGGCGCGATATATTCCATCATCTGTAGAGCGTGCATGGCTGGGAAGTGCGCCGGCAAGGTCAACGAACTCAGTCAACCCCAAATTGGAATCCACCGCCGCCTCAGCCAGATACAAATCCACCAGCTTCGCCACCTTCATCAGGGCGGCGCCGCCTCTGGAAACATCCTCGGAGTTCACGAACCCGTTCACCAGCCGAACCACCAGCTCGAAATCGAGCAGCGTTGTGCTCGTATGGCTGAAGGACGGTATCATCAGCTCCTCCAGCGTGGCGCCGTCGAGCTGCCGGGAAACCCGGCTCTCGAGGTCGGACCGGAACGCCGGCCCAACTCCGGCCATGTTGGCCACGCGCAGAACGCGGAGTAAGAAGTTGCAGGGGATGGAGTCCTTCTCCGGTGGGAGGATTCCGATTAGGGTTTCGATGAACAGCTTCTTCTTCACCCACGAAGCGGTGAGGCTTTCCGGCGAGTCGTCGCCGGTGGGCCCGACGGGCCCGGTCAGGGCGGCCCGGTCTCCGGATAAATCGGGGAGCCGCTTTGAAGCGTAGTGGGCGATGATTGAGCCGATTAAATCGGGCCGTACACCTTTCCCCTGGAGGCCCGACAGAATCTTGATGAAATAATCGGTGTCGGAAACGCAGGCGTCGTTGAACCAGCATTCGGCGGCGAACGACGTTAGCTTGCCGGATAACGCTACGGATTCTGGTAGCCCGCCAAGATTCTGCATTTCAGTTTCTCTCTCTTCTTTTTATTTTTTTAGTGAGAGAATTAAATTTTTATTAAGTAGGAATATATATATATTTCACTTCACTCATCAGTAGTTCTTTGTTTGTTGGTAAACTGTCGTAGAAATTGTATTGGAAATGACAAGAATGCCCTTGGAGTAATTAATGTGGAATTTATTTATTTTTTATTTTTTATTTTTCTTATCGTTCATCTGTGAACGTTGGTGGTAAGGGAAGAAGGATAAGAGAGAGAGAGAGAGAGAGAGAGAGAGAGAGAGAGAGAGAGAGAGAGAGAGAGAGAGAGAGAGAGAGAGAGAGAGAGAGAGAGAGAGAGAGAGAGAGAGAGAGAGAGAGAGAGAGAGAGAGAGAGAGAGAGAGAGAGAGAGAGAGAGAGAGAGAGAGAGAGAGAGAGAGAGAGAGAGAGAGAGAGAGATGGCTTAGAAGTCACTGTCATCTGTTATGTGGTGTTGCTGTAGTATAGTTTTCATCCTTCATATGTAATGTAACAGAGAATAAACTTATCAAGGGTCTATTTGCATTGAATGTCTTCTTTTCATACACACACACACACACACACACACACAAAAATATACACTTCTAATAATTAAAAATAGCTTTTGAATTTTTTTAGAAAATTCGCTCATAATCCTATTTTCAAATTGAAAAACGAGAAGTGCGTAAATTAGGTTTTTGCTGGTTAACGGAAATAGGTATTCATCGTTATTTACAAGGAGGATATTTACTTGTTCGACAAATTCCCCACCGGACGACGAAGAATATATATAGTATATTACCGTAGATTTAGATGCATATAATCACGCATGTATACCTAAATGTGTGTGTGTGTGTGCGCGCGCGCGTGAATGGCTATTTTTATTTTTGGAAAGTTTAAGGTGAAAAGAAAGGGATTTGTGTGTGTGAAAATTTAAGAGAGAGGCAAAATTGTACTCCATATGTTGTATTATTGGCTATAGATGAATTTCGTTGCAAAAATAAATATAAATAAAAATAAAAATAAAAGAAACCAAGCATGTGGTGTCCTGCAGATAGTATAAACGGTTAAGCTCCAATCCAGAACAAAACTTTGTCCACATTTGTTATTGCATTTAATGAAAATTGTCACACATTTGCTCTATTACTACTTTTGTATTTTCTTAATTGAAATCCTTTGTACTCTAGTTAAAAAGATCCTATATACAATGTCCCTTTTTCATTTTATTTTCAGGAAATATGTTTTGGCATAAGAAAAAAATAATAATTATAATATTTGTTTGTATTTTGAAAATATACAATTTATGTTGTATAAACGTTGGCGAAAAGTATTTTAAAACGAGGATTTGCAAAATTAATTGATTCGTTGTTTGTATTTTAGTAAATGCGTTTATTACGAAGAAGAAAGAAACTTAGGAAAAGTAAAAATCATCGTCCATTTGAAGAATAGTAAATAGTGTTTAACCCTTCTATAGTTTGAAGTTCGTCGAGCACACGACCCCTTTATACTTAGATATAATCACATAACCCCTCGTACTTAAAAAAAAATTCCTCTTCCCAAGTATGATTAGTTGCAAGTGAAATAAATACCAGGGGTTTACGTGCTTATATTAAAAATACGAGGGGTCATGTGCAAAGAATTCAATCGACAGGGTAATTAACACAAATGCAGAAATTAAATAATGGTTCAAATAAGTAAAATAGAAAAAAAAAATTATATTTTTAAGGAAAACTACAATAAGTAAAAAATCTCAGAGTGGCTTAAAGTCAGTCACGTGACTAACAGGCTCTGATTATTCCAAAAGCTAAAACAAAAATATTACAATAAATAAAAAACATATTAGAAAATCCTAACACCATCATCAATCCAAACTGCCAAATCTTTCTAAAATGATAGTAATAATAATCATTTCTTTAATCCCTATTATTCAAGCAACCGAATCACGCACTCCGAGGCGACGAGGGTCCGGCGGAGGACGAATCGCCCCCCATTGAATTTAGGGCTGACTCAGCAGTGAGAGATCCGTTATTACCAGTTTCATCGGTCGAGGAAACAACCGAGATTTTGACGGAAGCTCTTTCCATCTCCTTCTCGAGCTCCTCCTCTTGCCTCAGCGCCGTGAATTGGGTGTCTAATGACTTTGCTGCCCCTAGCCATGCAAGAACAATTACGAGAAGTATGCCACCTAGATAAGGTGTCGAATTCGCAAGAGATCCGAATGTTAGAATCATGAACTGCTGAATTAGAGCGCCACCGGATTTTCCCAACGGGTTGCACACAACATCGATCGCCGCCTTCCCTTTAACCTGAAAAAAATAAAAAAAATTCGTATAACAAACGTAATATATATGTATGTATATTTGGTTCTTGAATTCTCGAAAAAATCATGTATATTTGTTCCAAAAAACAAATTGAAAAAAAAAAGAAAAATCGGAATTTCGGAAATCGGGATGAAAAAACTTGTTCTGAAATCGAAGTGGGCAGAATTCGGAATTTCCATTTTTGTAGTCACGTATAATATAAAATACATAACAATAGTGATATTACAAGTATAATTTTTGGAAAAAAAAATTGAATTTTGGAAAATATTTTCGGAAATTAAAATTGGATCAGAAATCGAAATCTAATATGCATGTATTCCTATTCCGTACCAAAAAAAAAAGTTCGGAACATTCAGAATTTGGAATAAAAAATATTGTTGCAAAATTCAGAAATATTCGGATCGGAATCAGTAGAATTCCGAAATGCTGTTCCAATTTCCGCCCCTACCTATTTGTCTTAAACTTCCGAGATCATAAGGGGTTTACGCAAATAAAAAATAACCAAGGGACTATTTCGACAATTATAGCAAAAATCAAGGGTGCTGAATGCAATTAAAAATAAATCACAATTTAATCGAAGGGTACTACAAACCTTGGTGTCTTCATCCAAAGGAATGTAAGCCATTTCCTTGCACGGATCGAACAAGCTGTACTTTGCACTCTTACTGAATATATTCTGCATCGCTCCGACGTACACAGCCGCTAAAAGTGGGGTCACTCCGATACCAGCGAGCGCCGGAGAAAGCGGGCCCCCAAACAGAATCAACGAGAAGAAACCAACTCCGGTGAGAAGCAACACCGTCGGAGTAATCTTCGCCGCCACTCCCCAGCCGTATTTGTTGAACACCCACTGGCTCAGAAGCATCATTATGAAAGTTGCTATTCCGGTTGCCGTCGAGAAATCTCCCATGAACGACGAGTACTCGTTTGGCGTCGGGAACTGCGCAATTTAGATAGTCCGATAAATAAATATGTACGTATATATATATATATATATATATATATATATATATATATATATATATATATATATATATATATATATATATATATATATATATATATATATATATATATATATCTAAGAGTTATTAAATAAATACCTGAGCTTTAAGCTTCGATTTCCATGTGACCTCGACGAGGTTGATGCTAATACCGTACGCGACGACCAAAGTGGCGAGGTCTCTTATATATCTCGAAGACACCAAAAACTTTATGCTCTCCATTGTACTCATTTTCGGCTTCTCCTAAATTAGACGAAGAATATAGTTAGGGCCTGTTTGGCTTGGCTTATAAATTATTAAAAATATCTTAAACGATGTTTAAGAGCTTATAAGCTATTAAAAGGTATTTGGTAAAAAATAGTACGAAAATCATTGAAAAATCCAAAATTAAGCTCTTCAAGAGCTTACAAGCTATTTTTTGAAAGCCTTTTGTATTTAAGAGCTTATAAAATCGAAAAACAACTTATCAGCTCAATATACAAAACACTAGAATATTTAATTTTAAAATAAGATTTCTCATACGTATAAAATCGAAAAACAACTTCTCAGCTCCACATTTAATTTTTAAAATAAGTTTAGCCAAACGGGCCCTTAGAGCAACGAATTAGCTACTAGATAAAGTCCATCAAGGCACTATTAAAAAAGCAAGTAAAAAAAGAAATGCTTGTAGTGAATTAATTACCTTCTTCTTCATACTACGAGAGGGAAGATCAACGTTATTGTTGACCCACCAATAAAGACCGCAAATGGCGAAACCCATGACTACGACGATACTCATCATGGCCTTTAGGGATATGGCCCACCCGTCGACTCCCGGGCCCAAGCTTTGCCTCATTTGAGAAAAGTATTTCACCGTTCGACCCGAGAAAATTAGGGCAACGTTTGCACCGAGTCCGAAGAGTGGATAGAATTTCTTTGCTTCGTCGATAGTAGTAATCTGTTGAGACAGTGCAGTAAACGAGTGTCATGTACAAATTACGGAAAATAACTATTAACAACACGAATCTTGTCGATAAATTATTGATTATTGAAACTAAAAACTTTCTGCAGCTAGAAGCTACCAAATCATTGTTCGATCAATTACAATTTTCAATCCAGCTCCACATTACGAGCCACTAGTCGTACTACATAATATTCAAGAACTAACAAATAGGAAGAATCTTGAATTACTTATCGATAGCAAATTATAAATGGACGATTAAAAAAAAGCCAATTCCAAATCACCATTCGATCAATTTCAATCCAGCAGCCACGTTAGGGAACCCACTATTCTTACTACGTAATATTCAAGAATCGACAATACGGAAGAATCTTGAATCACTTATCCAAAGCAGATTATAAATGCACGGTTCAAAAAATAAATAAAAAAAACGAACGAAACGACGGGACAAGAAAAACTACCTGATTAGCAAACCCCCAAAACAGGACAGAGACAACCACACTCCCCCAAAGCTCAGCCATCACATAGAACAAACAGAAACTCCATATCCTCATTATCGCAAGCGGCCCGAGAAACCTCGGCCCCAACGTGTTGAGAAGCTTATCCGCAAGCGCGGTCGGGTGGAAATAGTTGCTGAGCGGATACAGCACGAACCCAAACGCCCCGAAAAACGCAATAAACGGAAGAATCACCGTATAAAACAGAGCCTCCTTCGATAACACATTCGACAACTTGGTGTACAGAACCATGAACCCAATCGCCATCGGCAAATTCACCCACGTTTTCAAGAACGGTATGATTTCGGCACTCGAACCTTTCGCCGTCACCACCAATACATCCTTTGTATCCCTTAAAATAGTGTAATTGAACAAAATACAAAAAAACATCAGCCCAAGTGGCAGTATTTTCTTCAGGGTCGCCACCTCCACACCCAACAGCTTCGGCTGGTCGCCGCCGCCTGCGGCGGCGGAGGCGGCGGCAGCCGCCTCCGCCCTGCATACGGGGTAGTTTCTGCTCTTCTGACCAACCAATTGAGGCTTTGTGGAAAAGCCATGGAATTTAGAGAACCCATTTAGAGATAAGGAGGAGGCGTTGAGTAAACCTGGTTTTAGTATAGGGTTTATTACATGGTTGTATCGGTACCTTAAACCCTGCAATGGCGGAGGTAGGAAAGAAGCTCTGGTTCTGGGGTTTGATGGTAGTGAGAGGAGCCCTTTTGACTGTAGAACGCCTTGCATTTTTTTCCTCTCTCTCTCTCTCTCTCTCTCTCCACTCTCTCTCTACTCTCTCTGTATCTCACCTCTTTCTCTCTCTCTCTCTATTCTTTGTTACAATGCAAAAAACTTATCAAGAATTGATTTATACGAGACGAAGATGACAGAGAAAGAGGGGTATGGAGAATGGAGATAAGGTTTGGGAGAAAGATTGCTCCTTTGCTCGGAGAGGGGTTTTGAGGAATGTGAAGAAGTTGTCTTTATATAGCAGAATGAAACGAAACCCTTGAATTGTATACTGACAAAATTAGTACTATAAAAAATTAAGAGAAATTAAATAGTACTTTAGTTTTTTTTTTTTTTTTTTTTTTTTAAATTAATTATTAGTTTTAGAGCAAAAAATCTTGATGTCAGGGATTTGCAGAGAAATGGGATTTATTTTTAGTATAAACAAAATTCTTACCACGCAGTTTTGTGAAATAAAAATTGATTTTTTCCTTTTTATTTTATGTAAGAAAATTTAGTATAAAAAAAAAAAAACTTGTGGGTGCTACTATTTGGCTGCTGATATTTCTTTTGAAGACGTGGACTCCTAAATAAATCACATTTTATTTTGTTTTATTTTTTGTTCAGTTCCGTGCATTGCATGTCTCAAATTACTAGTTCTCGGTCAAAATAAAAGTTTAACAGCATGTAGCATGCCTAATTTGGGATCATGGTCCACTCAATTATGCTCATTTTCATAAGTTTAATTATGTGATTTATAAACTAATTTGGTGGCAATTATTTTGTTGCTAAATATGTTTTTAGATATATTTTTTTAGGTTTGCTTTGGTATTAATTTCTTCTATGTTATACTGGATGAAAAAACACTAGATATATCATAATCGTTCATTCTCACACATTCGTATTAATAGGTAGATAAATAGTAGAAATATGTTCGATGAAGACTTTACTGAGTGTAGCATTGATTTGACCGGTTATTACCCCAAACAAACAAATAAAAACTACTAAATGCCACTCAAATACAACTTCTAATCTTATATATAAAAGAAACAAATGTTGGGCAACCCTAAAAAATTATAATGGTATTTCTGTAATTATTTATTTTTTAATATTTTTTTTCCTCTACTAATTTCTAACTATAATTTATAACAATTATCAATCTCCGATTTTTCATCAATATATCTCAAATCTTAAGAGATAAAGATAGAAATACGATTTTTTAAATTTTAATCTATATAATTGGATTATAAATCTTAATATGTAAGATTTAAATAAACCAATGTTCTATAAACTATGAATAATAAATACTACATTATTAAATTTTACTATGTTAGTGTACGATATTTTCTTATTATGTATTAAATTGATTATTTTTTTCATTCTTAAAATAATAAAATATGAATAATACTACATTATTAAAATTTACTGTGTTAGTGTACGATATTTTCTTATTATATATTAAATTGATTATTTTTTTATTTTTAAAATAATATCCCGTGCATCGCAGGGGAAAAAAAATACTAGTTAGGAACTAATAGGAGTATTAAATTAGGAGTCAATGAAGACAACTAATTAGAAACTATTTGAATTTTTTGAGTAAGAACTTTTTAACATAAATCACATACACCAAAAAATTTAAAAATTAATACAAAATTCGATCTAAAGAACCGAATTTCGTACTAATTAAATAATTATTTAATCAATATATAATATAATTCCAGCTAATTCAAATTAGGTAACCAAACGACATCTAAATTGAATGAAAAGTATAATTATTAATCAGATATTAATTGTTTTTTTTAAAAGGAGCTACTAATTTATATGGGCTAGTAAAAAATTGCTAAGGGGATACTAGTTAGGAATTAATATGGGCGGGCCAACTGTAAACGGGCCCATTATCCAATACGGGCCGAAAATCGAATACGGGCTGAAAATTCAGAAGCCCAATTTTACTGCCCAAATCACATCTTATAATTGATTTTTAATTTTTTCAATTTTATCTGAAAGAACTAATCAATTTTCTACGGATCTCATACGCGCGAGAGAGAGAGAGAAAGAAGAGAGAGAGAGAGAGAGAGAGAGAGAGAGAGGAGAGAGAAGTTGTGGAAGGGAAGAAGTTGTTGTACACCACGATGGCGACGTCATCGAGTTCATGGTCTCGAGCTTTAGTTCAGATCTCACCGTACACCTTCGCCTCCATCGGAATCGCACTGTCAATCGGCGTTTCTGTCCTCGGCGCTGCGTGGTATTTTCCTCGAACGCCGTGCTTCTAAATTCGTGTTTTTTTTTTGCTTGATTATGTCGCCTGATTTTGTTTTGACTTTGTCGGAATTTTTCAGGGGGATATATATCACCGGGAGCAGTTTGATCGGTGCTGCCATCAAAGCTCCTCGCATTACTTCCAAAAACCTAATCAGGTACTTTTTTTTTTCAAATCTGAGTTGTTTTAGATTTTCGTTTTGTTTTGTATATGCTTAATTATTGTAGCTATTGCTTAATTATTGTTATTATCTTAATTAATTTTGCTTGATTTATTATACTTCGGCTTCAGTTTAGTTTGATTTAGATTATATAGGGATTATATTTGTGTTATCTGATATTAAATCATCAATTAATCTAGAATTAATCGAGAATCTGATATGGGGGTTAAGTGGAGTTCGTAAATACTGAAGTCCACCGTAAAATTTATCGAGAGTTTGAAGGGAAATGTGTCTGTTTGTGGAGGTGAAAAAGGTGAAATTCAATGAATCTACTAGACAATAATTTTAACAGTGTTTAAGAGAAAATGTGAAGGTTAAGAGAAGTAGTTTTAAAAATACGGAAGCGCGAAACTTAAGGATACGAGAAATACGTAGATGACCTATTTTCTTGCTTAAATTGGGAGCTGTGATATTGTTCCTGCTTGGGCTGTCTCTTATGCAACTATATGTATGGAATGTATATATAGGATTTATTTACCTCGTACTCTCAGAAAGTTGAGTCGCTAAGTATCGGAGTTGATGCACTTGTTATCTTGCCCATCCATTTTTTTTTCCTTTTCGTTTTTCAATTTTCATTTCTTTGATGTGGGCATACGTCCAAATCCTTAACTATGATGGATAAAACATGAAGCATTAAAACGAAACTTTAGAAGAAAATATTAGTTGTTTTTGTGATGGGGGCCCCTTGTAGAGTCTCTCTGATCTTTTTAATACAATGCTTTTCTTATCAGCAAAAAAAAAAACCGAAACTTCAGAAGAAAAACTTGTCTTTTGATGCTAGAAATTCGCTGTATTGAAAATCAACTGTGGCCATCGAACTAGGATTGCAGTAAATATTAGCTGTATGGAACAAAATATATGCTTAAACACTCTTGTACTTCAAAGATGTATTGAAAAGTGTGTAATGATGTTTGTTGGACTTCTCAAATCATTTTAGATCTTTAATCTCCGTTTTGAATCTAGAATTTAGTGGCGTAAAATCTAGAAAAAACTAAAATTGAAACGCCTTGAATATGACTGATCATGAAAACAGTGAAACGAATGTCATAATTACGGCTCTATACTTGTAAAAGCATTTCCATTGTGTTTTCTTCGAAAATGAATGTTGTTGATACTTGAGCTTGCTTTACTTGAACCGTAGGTTCAAAAATAGCTTTAAAGTTTTTGAGCAATAACAACACAACCATCTTGTTTTATGGGCATCTTAGGATGTATAACAAAAATAATATCTGACCGTTGGTTTTCCCAGATAATTGATGAGCATATTGTAGCTTCTAAAATCATCTTGAAAGTAGCCGGGAAAAAAAAGCATTTCTTATTATTCATTATGTCTTGTAAAACGTGTCTAACCCTATGAATTCGTCCTTCTCACAGTGTGATTTTCTGTGAGGCTGTGGCTATATACGGAGTCATTGTTGCTATCATTCTTCAGACAAAGCTCGAGAGTGTGCCGTCTTCCAGGATTTACGACCCAGAATCACTCAGAGCAGGCTACGCTATATTTGCATCTGGAATTATTGTCGGCTTTGCAAATCTCGTCTGTGGGTGAGTTTTAACTATTAATTTTATTTTTTCTTCCAAGATATCCGACCACTGCTATTATTTATTATTAATTTTTTTTCTTTTCGAAAAGGCTATGTGTTGGAATAATAGGAAGCAGCTGCGCTTTGTCAGACGCACAAAACTCGACTCTTTTTGTTAAGATCCTCGTTATTGAGATCTTCGGCAGTGCGCTCGGGCTGTTTGGTGTCATTGTAGGCATTATTATGTCTGCTCAAGCAACTTGGCCATCCAAGTAAGTGCCTCCACACACACACAAGGTGAATTCCATGTTATTGATATCGAGTGCTTGTGATGCTTTATTTTCATCTTTTTTTTTTCTCTTTCTACTCTAGTCGGTTTTTGTATTCTTTTTATGTTTATTTTTGTTGCTGTTATGCAATCTGGATGTGATGAAATTTGGTGAGAAAAGGGGAAGGAACCAAAACACCAATCATTTATGATATGGGCTCTGTATGTATTTTCCGCTTCCGATTAATAAATTTTTTGTCCATTAATTTAAGTACCCTTATACGTCTATTCCGTCGACAAGGGGTGTTATAACATTATTTTTCGGGTATATTACTGTAAGACTAAATTAATAAAACTGTCCTTGTTTGTGTAATTACATGTACCACTAAGTTATGCCACCATCTTCACTTCTTCCCTCAAATTTTTTTTGTTCTCTCTAAATAGTGATCCTAAATAGTTCGAGATTTACGTGTGAATAGTCATGGTAATGTAGATAGTTAGTTTTTGTAGGGTTTTCTATCGGACGCTAGAGTGTAAATGTTGAGTAAACTGCAAAAAGTACCCCTGTATAATTTCAAAATAGTAGAAAATTCACTGTCAGAAATAATGTAGCACAAAAAAAACCCTGTGAAATTATTAAGGCGGAACCCCCTTGGTGCACTTTTGTGTGGCGCACTCGCTGGATCAATGTGCAACCGGTAATCGATTTTAAGACCTAAAATGATAGAATTGCCCATCTAATCCCCATTTTCGTACCTTTAATTCCAGCCAGCCCCCTCTATATTATGTTATTTTAATTTTATATTATTTTATTACAATGTATATTTGTGTTATTTAAAAAACTTCACGGGGGATTTCTGCTAGTTTATTTATTCTAAGGGTTCTTTCACTATTTCGAAAATGTTATATATTGTGATTTAGCCGGGTGTTTGAAACTTTACAACCTTTTGAAACTCTACACTCGTCACTCGATAAAATTCATCATGTAATCTATTATCGTAGATCTACACATAATCACACGCATACAATTTGTAATTTCATTTCCATAGGAAAGTTACGGGCACGATAGTTATACATCAACCCAAATCTAATTAAAGCCCGAAAATAAACTGAAACTGAAATCATTTGCAGTTGCATTTTACCAAAATTGGCTTTTGGGCCCGAAAGGCCCATTTACAGACAAACAAATTAGCCCATTACTCTCTCCCAACAAAGTAATTTGATCAATCAAATTAATCCAACAAACAAATGTGACCGTTGCTTTCAAACATGTCAGCCTACCGGCGTAACAGACGCCGCAACACAGGCTGTGTAACAAGACAACACGTGGCGACAAGCGGAGTGGGGGGCGCAGGCTAAGAGTCAGATGTTGGCCCACAGAGGAACGCGACTCCCGTTGTAAGATATGTGGGACCCACCTCCCCGACCATTGATCTCTTCTCTTTCTAACGGTCACGTTTTCTCTGTCAGGCGCTGCCTTTGAATTTTCACATTGAAATAGTTGTAGATTTATTATAAATATAATTAATAATTAATTCATATAAATAAGTAAAAAAGTAAACTACAGTTCATCTTTTTTTTTTTATAATGTTTTATTATAATTTATAATAATAAAAATCTAATAATATTAAAAAAAATAACACGAAATCGGCACATGCTCGAGCTCAAACTCGTCAAAACAGCTAGATCTGGTTCGTGCTCAACTCGTTTAAACCCCTACTCAAACAAAAGTTCTCTCCCAACATACGATACTCTTATTTTCACAAAATAGTACTCCCTCCGTCCCAATTTAAATGTCGTTTTGGGTTATTTTGCACATATTAAGAAAATCAATAAATGTGCATAGATTATAGTAAAAAACAGATAAAATTACTAAAACATCCTCAATATTAATTGATTGTCAACTAATTAATTATGAGTGATTAAGGGCAAAATTGAAAATAATGCAATTAATGCTTCATTGAAAATCTAAAATGACAAATAATTTGGGACAAAAAAAACTCTCTAAAAAGACATATAATATGGGACAGAGGGAGTATTAAGCAAAATTTATGTCATGATTATTACAACAAAATATTATTGACAAATATTTCTCACTAATTACATAATAAATATAAAACAATTCACACATTATCATTATTCCTTAATAAAATCTTTTCGGCATGCTTATATTTTACATAAATCCTTTTATTGAACGAGCAATTTTTTATTTATTTTTTTGAGAATATTTCAAAAAATATTCAAAATGTTAATTTTTGCACAAACTGTGTTGGCACATTTACAAACAAATATCTATGGACTAGTAATTATCAGATTATGGTGCATCGGAAATTGCATATTTGCACAAATTAGAGAACATTCCACGGAATCTAGAAGATTCTGTTGAATTTGATATCATAAGGATGAACGTGTAAAAATATTCATAGTCGATGGGTAATTATAATTATTCAAACATCAAAGTTTTTTTCGTAATTTAACCATATCTGAGGGCAGTTGGCAGTAATTTACCAAAAAAAATATAAAATATATTCAAAATGTTAATTTGAAGATAGTCAAAAATCGACACAAAAATTTCTAATTTCTTTCAAAAAAAATAGAAAAGAAGAATAAATCGATTCATCAAATACACTGATTCTCAGTTTCTCTCTCACACACAGAGAGACGAATCGAAGAAAAAAATTCGAACTACGACGATAGAGATTCATTCGCTCAAGCTCTACAGAAAACGAGGATCGGAGAAAATCGTTAACGAAATCGCCGGCCGTCGATTCGACGCCGGGATGGCCATTTCTCGCGTGTCTCGTCGGGCTACCGTTTCCGCTCCATATTCCGGTAGGAATTTTGTTTTCATCCACAATCGTATTGCGCGAGGTCCTACTTGAACAATTTTCAATCGATTCATCCGATATTTGAGTTGGTTGTTGGAAAATTCACAAAAAAAAAAATTAAAAAAAAATTAAGATGGTCGTCGTGAAGGGCAGTTGGTGGTTGGAGAAAGTGCGGAGGGGTGTGCGGACGGTGTATTTCATGGTGGTGATGGTGGCGTCGCTTCTGGTTGTGTCGCTGCCGCTGGTGGTGGCGGCGAGCGACGTCGTTTTGCCTTGTTTGTTGATTCAGAGCTTCGTCTGCGTGAAATGTTACGGTTTTAGGGAGCATTTACAGAGATACGCGTTCAGGAGCTCGCTTGTGGATATTCCCCTTGTTTCCATCGCCAGATCTCTCATCATTACCTGTATGTATTGTTATGCTTACCTACTATTGTTTTCTTATCAATTTTTTTTTTCAGTTGAGGTAATATGTTTATTTGCAGTAACCCTATGCTGTTGGGATGATTCGAATAATCGTTACATTACAAATATATACAGCCGAACTTAACTATATGCAATTATTGGGTGTTCGGCATGTTTGAATTAACTATGAACTAATGTAGCGAACATTGATTTGACTGATGAAAACAGGTGTGTATTCGTTTTGCGACGGACCGGCGTTGTCGCACGGGCCGTATCTAGGAACTGTAACATTTTGCTCTTTAGTTTCGGTATTAGTTCTTTCCTTCAAGGCTTGTGTCTTCACGGTCAATTCTCAACTGGTCGACGAAGCTTCAATTTCTCTTTCGAGAAAAAGGCTCCATCTGAAGAAGTCTTGGGGAATGCCTGTCTTGTTTCTCTCTTCTTTAGTTTTCGCACTGGGGCATATTGTCGTGGCGTATCGTACGAGTTTCAAAGCTCGGAGGAAACTTCTTTTACACCGTGTTGATCCAGAAGCAGTAAGTTCTTGATTTTTTTTAGATATTTGCAGTGGTGATGTCATGTTTTATGCACTGGATTTTTAGCTAATCCAGTTACCTGATTTACCAGGTTCTTTCTTACAAAATGGTGTTCTCGAGTTATCAAAAGGTTCCGAGATCACCCACTCCATCTGCTGGGAAATCTTTCAGAATTGACGGTGAAACAAGGAGAAAAGCACCGGGGTTAGTGCACGATTATGGGCAAGTTCCAGCTAGTTTTCTTTCTGATGTAGACAGTTTATTCATTTCTTGTCAAGGGCTCACGGTTCACTACAAGCTAAGCTTGCCAGGATCGCATTCCCGATCTTTGTCATCCACTCCCTTTTACCAGCCATCAATTAGTGTACCACCGAAACCCCATTATAATATACATAGGAGCATAAGTAATCAATTCTATAACAGCACATCCCCTCTCTATACACCTCTCCTAGCAAGCTCTCCGGCTTCCCCGATAACTGAAGATGTGCCTGTTTTATGCTTAAATGAAAAATTTGAGGAGTATGAGCCGAATATACTTGGGTCTCCACCGATGGAACGAGATATTGAGGCAAATGTACAGTTTGGGATTGTTTTAATTCATGGATTTGGAGGGGGAGTCTTCTCATGGAGAAAAGTGATGGGTGTTTTGGCCAGGCAAGTTGGTTGTGCAGTAGCTGCTTTTGATAGGCCTGGATGGGGTTTTACGTCAAGGCCTCGAAATAAGGATTGGGAGAAAAATCATTTAACTAATCCTTACAAGATTGACAATCAGGTGATTATTTGTATACTTATATAATCTTCTATATTCAGTTCAAAAGTCAAAATCAAATGCTAATTAATACTAAAACCATCATTGCTGATGTTTTAATTTTCCGTAAGTTCCCGTTTTTCATTATCTTTTTCTTGTCTATTATTGCATAGCACTTACTTGGTTACACCATGAAATATAAGCAAATTGTGGAAATTTTTCAACTACAAGTCCATGAATATTTTTAACATTGTTCATGATTATGCTTTCGACGTGTTAACCGATCAATGCAGAATGCCGACACATTTTCTTGTGATTCTATCATATGCACCTAAAAAACGTGGACATGTATTTAGCAACATGAATGATTAATTCCATGTATGTTGACAATTATGATTAACTCAAGCTATGTAATTCTTGAGGGATCTGTGACACTTGGAAACACAGCCTTTTTGACATATTTTTATTTGTTTTCCTCGTTCTATTGAGCCTCCATTTCAATAGTTTGTCCTGTTTTTCAGGTGGACCTGCTTCTTTCTTTTTGCATGGGAATGGGGTTTTCTTCAGTCGTTCTTGTCGGGCATGATGATGGAGGACTGCTTGCCATGAAGGCTGTGCAAAAACTTCAGTTGTCAGAAAATTTGATGAATGTGAGTTGGCTGCTGAACTAGTATTTTGTTTAACTTGTGAACTATAATTTTTGAGTTAAAGCAAACACATTCTTTATACGTCATGCTCGATTAATTATTTGATATTTTTTTTATTGTTTTGATGCAATATTGAGATGCGATTTCAAGTCTTCTCTGTGCTTCATATAACTCCATTATTCTTTGATATTTAATTACGAGAATACGTGTTTCTTTTTAGTCCAAACAAATTATTAGAATTGGTTGATCGCTTAAAAGCCAGCTCTCGTTTCATGTTTCTCAGCTTGAAATAAAGGGGGTCGTATTACTCAACGTAAGCTTGTCAAGAGAATTGGTTCCTGCTTTTGCAAGAATATTGCTACGTACTTCGATTGGCAAAAAACACGTGGTGCGCCCTCTCCTTCGAACAGAAATTATTCAAGTCGTGAATCGCCGCGCTTGGTACGACGGAACCAAACTAACGACCGAAGTCTTGAGCCTGTACAAGGTATTATTTTGGTAACACATGAATTCGATATTGTAAAATGCATAAATATTAGGATTTCGGCACATTAAAACATCACACAGAGCACAAACAATACATATACTTTTACATGTGATTCTGAACAAAAAAACATCAGGCCCCGTTGCATGTAGAAGGATGGGACGAAGCACTTCATGAAATCGGGAAACTATCGTACGAAACAGTGTTGCCACCACACTGTGCAGAATTGATGCTTAAAGCAGTTGAAATGTTGCCGGTTTTAGTTATTGCTGGCGATGAAGACGCCCTTGTCCCTCTCAAATCCGTTCAAAACATGGCTTCCAAACTTGTAAATTCTGTAAGTTCTTTTCACTCTCTACACACGTTTACACATCATTTTTGTATAAACTGAGTTCTTGATTAATTTACGATTTATATTGATGTCGTGCAGAGACTGGTTGCAATATCTGGTTGCGGCCATCTCCCACACGAAGAATGCCCCAAGGCATTGCTTGCCGCTATTTCGCCTTTCATTACCAAACTTTTATTAAAATCAGAGTTACAGAGCTAGCAAGAGTTGTTTGTAACCATGATTAAATAGTTTCTCTCTCTCTATTTAGTTTCCCACTTTTCTTGTAAATTATTATCTCAAACGGAGAGACCAAGTTAATCTCTTCTTTTGGGTGTGTTTTTGATTCTTTAGTTCAAAAGGTATCAATTGTTTTAATGCATTTTGCTGACCAAAATTATATGATTTACTAAAAAATATATAATTATAACAAAAATATATAATTAATTATGACAAATCTTTAATTCCTGCAATTTTCAACACCAAAATAATAAAAAAAAGGTAGGTAGCTAATTAATCAACTGGTATTAATCAAGAAAATAATTCCACCAAAGTAGCTAAAATTCCATCAAATTTTACTTTCGAGACCAAGATAAAACGAACACGACCAACCGACAAGATAAAACAGCATATTAATAAGCTCATCTTTATTTCAAAAGATAAAAATGGCACAACCATTTACGCCACCACACAGGGCCCCACAAAAACTACAACACACAGACGGACACTCCAAAAAAGGAAAAAAAAAATACGACCTCCTATTCATTCTCCGTTGCCTTTTGATTAGTCGGGTTATCGCTGATATCAGCAGTCTTGTCTTCTTGGGCAGAAGAAATATGCACATTCTCAATCTCTCGAGTAATCTCTTCCGAAACATCCTTAACAGTCGAAGAACCCTCTTGCTCTGCATTGTTCGAAGGACCTGTTTGCCATATTCTAATTGTCCCATCTTCAGAACCAGACGCGTAAGATTCGCCACCTGGCGAAAAACGCACGCAGTGAACTGGTCCGTGGTGCCCCTTGTTGCACCCTAAATATGACCAAACAAAAGTTCAATAGAAGTTATTTATTTACTTTACTGAAAGATTAAATACTAGTAGCCATCAAACTTACCAACTTCTTCTCCAGTATGAAAATCAAACACACGAATCCACATGTCTTCTCCACCAGCAATGAACTTGTTGCCGTACTTCGGCTCCAACGAAGCTGACTCCACAACACAGGGCATGTCGTAACTTTTCACCAATCCAAAGCTGTTGAATAAATACTCGATCGTTAAATTTTGTTCGAGCAAGTTATCAGAGAAGCAGATTTACATAGATTGATCGAAATAAAAATTTGACGTACTGATTTGCATCCCAAAACTTAACAGTTGACCCGTCGGCAGTTGTTATATAGCGCCCGTCTTGACTCACTTCGGCACTGGTTACTGAAGACTTTGTCTCGAGTGTCCGAACAATAGTGCCAGTTCTTACATCCCATAACCTAGAGAAATCAGTCCGGACATTATATCAAACATATAAATACAACTGTAAGATATGCATCGAACCTAGACGACATTAAGTGCCGGGAATTAGCAATTAAGTGCCCCAAAGTCTGTATATCGTTCAAAAACATCTCAAAATAGCAGTAGTAAAAGAAACAATGTAAGTTTCGTATTGAGTTGACATACCTCACCCCACCCATATCAGTACACGAACCTAAGATCGTCTGATCACTGTGGAGCCAAGCAATGGTTCTCACAGAACCGGGGGACTTTTCGAGTTCCCTAGGGGGTGCATCAGACCGATTTAAATCAAATACTCGAAGAACTTTTTCCATTCCCCCAGTTAGTAGCAGGTTCGTATCCTGCAAATTAATGAAACAAACTCAATGTCAAAAAGGAATATAGACATAAATAAAATTCCCGTAAAATGTTTCAGACATATGCTACATAGGTAGTTCTAACAAGAGCCTGTGTACATGAAATTCACACTTATTACACAGGGAAGCTACAGCATTTTGCGCCTTATGTTACAGCATTGCTACTCGATAAACAGGTGGAAGTTCATAGGATGTTCATAATACTAAAAAAATAGTAAGCTTGGCCAAAGTCGGAAATATATCTGCATTTCTTCAAGAATTCAACCAACAGAGTCCAAAATCAGAATCTTTTTACATAGATCCTTCATAAAATAACAAGTTTTCAAACCTCGTGTTTTGGTAAAATTGAACAGCGGAAATTAGATATTCTTAATTAGTAGGAACTATAATACCATATCGATATTTTTACGGCAAATACAGCCAACATGATTTATGAACGGATGAAGCAGCAAACGAAGAAATTTATCCAATATCAGTAGCAAAGAAATTGATAGGTAGCAAAATCATCAGAAAATACGACTAAAATAAGGGAAGCAGGCATTTAGTACCTCTGAGAAAGCACAAGCACGGACTATGTGTTTGTGCTCAAAAGAATGCAACTCGTCCCCAGTCAATGCATCCCACAATTTCCTGTAGCCAATCAATGCAATCAGACTCAAATATAATCACTGTGTTTAACAGAAATCGGCACTTACGTACATATCTTTACTTGCAATTAATTGGTCAACAAGTAAATGAGAAATACATCGTGCTTCGTCTGAAGCTTTAATTTATTGTTATTACAAACTTAGAAAATTGAGAACTTGAGCACATACGCAGAAAAATCAGCAGATGCAGAGGCAGCACGGATCGCATATTTATCCAGGCAACAACTCCACACTGCGCCTTTATGGCCTTGAAAAGTTCCAATCCAATCTCCAGTCTCTCCGTTTCTCAACATGGGTGTTGAGTCTACAAAGATAAGGGAAGTTCATTAAATTTTAATGTTTATAGCATATACTTTAGTAAAATTTTAATGTTTATAGCATTTGGAGATACACCGTTAACTGTCCATATAAGGTGCTAAGGATAGATATACAGTTCATGCCCAATATGTAAATGATACGGAGGCAACAGTTCGATTCAATTCAGCAGTGAGATATTTGAACCTTGATTGCTACATCTACACAAACAACGCACAAAAATAAAATAATATGCCCCAATATAACCTACATTTTGGTTCATAGATATCATCTACATGATGATACATCTCGTGTTTGAAAAAGTTTTAGAGGCTTCATAAAAGCTAACGAACAAATCAAAGTTCGTGAACTAATTGGAAAAGACAGCAAATTTCGTATATACAGTCACTTTAGCCTTCTCCGTGACTTCCGTTTTCGAAGTCACTTGCAACAACATAGTCCAAGAATCAGACTAAATATCTAAACAACTGCATATACACGTAGGCCTCGTTCGGTTGCCAAGATAAGATTAAATAATCTTATGAAAACCCAATTATTTTATTGAACCCGGGACGTCCAACAAAAAAATCCCTCTAAAAGGCAAGATAAGACGGGCCGACCCGATAAGTTATTGGGGATACCAAAACACCAAACAAAGTCCAATTATTTAGTTAGTTAATAATGGTTAATCTCCCAACCAAACGAGGCCGTAGTGTGAAGTTATTCAAACGGGGTTTATCTTATAAGTGAACATAATTCACATAAACGAGGCGAAGCATTCGATTTTTCACCTAGCCACACTAGCATCAACAGTGATCAAGATAATTCCAATTATGGATACTCGAAACAAACCCAAGAAGACAACAACAATGCCACCATTAAACAACAATAACAATTAAAAAAAAACATTTAATCGAAAAATACGAACACTCACCCTTGCTTGCACTAACAAGGAAGAAACCATCCGGTGTTACGGGGCTGTAGAACAAATCGACAACTGGACGAGAATGCCCATGGCAAACCAATGGAGCTATAACCTTCTTCTTATCCATTTTCTTCAACTCCTTTAGATATTAACCCAAATAGAAGAATTTTTATTTTGCTACTGAATATACACGAAGAAAAAACCCTTTGTCCCTAATCCCAGTTCAGAATTCAAGCGCTCAAAAATTCAATCTTAAATTTTGACAAATTACGCCCAATTGCCGGAGGAAAAAAAAAAGATAAAATCAATTCGAAAATTCTATTTTTTTTCGTATTTGTGAGAATTACAGAGTGAAAATGAAAAAAATCAAAACAAAAAATCTACAGATCAGAAAAATATATGTAAGAAGATAACACCAAATATTTATATGGTTGTATTGTATTGTATAGGTTGTGGCGGCAACGAACACAGGTGGGAAACCCTAATTTTTTACTTTTTTTTTCTTTTTTGAGGAAAATTGACGATCAATTTAATATTCTGCGCGGATCCACACCTCCTAACCCTAAACAGATCAAAATGTATTCTTGATTTTTTTGGTAGAAGATGAAAAATAGAATCTAGGGAAAAACTAGAAACTCCTCCATGGGTGCAAAACTGGGACTATAGGGCTAGGCACAACAAGGTTGGAGACAATGCCCTAACCTTATTTATATACGCGGTGTCCATTTCTTTTTGCAATCGAAGATCCTCCATCTTTGTGGAAATTGTACGGTTGCCCCCCTTTTTGGAAATTATGAAATTGCATGTGCAAATGAATCGAGTCGAGCCGAGCCGACTCATATTAGTCAAACTTGCTTTATAAATAAAAATCGGTCTTTGAAAATTATGTTTGGGTTTGGGTTGTGTCGAGCTTCGATTGAACTGGACACTAATTGAACTTGATTGTCTTGTTTTAACTCGAGTCGAGTTTCGTATTATGTTGTATGCTAGCAAAATTTTAGCAATCGATCTTGAATACGATATCGAACAAGTACAACTTGATGATTGTCTTGTTTTAACTGAAATAGAGTTTCGTATTTTGCTATTAGTGAAATTTTAGCAATCGATCTTGAATATTATGCGTAATGTGATTGAATATTACAAAGAAATTTATGACAAATTACTCCTACCAAGGGGTGGTAAACGAGTCGAGCCGGCTCGCGAACTCGACGAGCCGGCTCGAAAAAAGCTCAAATTGGAGCTCGGGTTTTTCGAGCTCGAGTCCAAAATTAGTTTTTCGACAGCTCGCGAGCCGAATGCTATTGGATCAAATGACAAAGACATTCTATTTTTTTTTACATATATATATATATATATATATATTATTCTTATTCTTATTATTATTATTATTATTATTATTATTATTAACTAAATAGTAAGTAGTCTATAATAATAAATATATCTAGTATTTAAATAGAAACAAATCCATATTACTTAAATAATTCATAATAATATAAAATATTATAATAATAATAATAATAATAATAGAAAAAATAAAAAATATATATAACTAGAGTTCATAATTTATTTTATAATTTTTTTTTTATTTTCAACGAATAATTTTTAATAAAAAATAAAATGATGTTAATAAAAAAAATTAAATAATAATTAAAAAAATTAAATAAGCTCGAGCTCGAGCTCGAGCAAAAAAAATTGGCTCGATGAGCTCGAGCTCGGAAACATGGACTCGAGCTCGAGCTCGCGCTGGCCAAAAGAGCCGAGCTCGGCTCGTTCCCACCCCTACTCCTACCGATGTATTACACACTTAGTAATTACATCTAGACCCCTACACTTTAGAAAACTACACATACCTCTATTGTACGTCACCCTTGACCAAATATTCCGTAAATATCATTGTCCTCCCAGAAAGTTAGGTCTAACTACATATATACCCCTAATGTTTTAAAATATTACAAAAACACATCCTAATGTTTATCTTTTAATTAAAAATTTGTTTAATTTCTTACATAATATTTTCTTTTATTAAAATATTATTTGGAAGGAAAGTCATAATAAATAATTATTATTGAAATAATGTTATGCTTTTGTATGTATTAATAATTAGGATAAATTACAACCACCCCTGAGGTATGGTCAATTTACGAAAAAATCTCTCTTGTTTGGATAATTACATCTACCCATTAACTATGATTTTTTCTTACACCTCCACCCTTATGGTGTCAAATTCAACATAATCATCTAGATTTCGTGGAATGTGCTCCAATTTGTACTTGTTTTGTGTAAAAATACAATTTCTGATGCACCACAATCTAGTATATTCAAGCCAAAAAATACATATTATTATCATCTTGCTTCAAAATGTGAAGTTCGAATGGGATGAAATTGGTACAAAAGTGATAATATTCCATATAATCTCGAAGATTCCACTAAATTTGAAACCGCAAGGGTGGACGTGTAAGAAAATTTATAGTTGAGGGGTGGTTGTAATTACCCAAACAGGAGGGGTTCATAATTCGACCATACTTCAGGGGTTTGGTTGTAATTTACCCTAATAATTATAAATATGGGAATTTTTATTATTTTAAAAATGAAATTGGAATATACAGTTCAAATAGAAGAGAGATAAAAGGAAAGCTAAATTGAAACTCAGGTAGGAAGCGAAGAAATTTGATAACCTTGGAAACTTGGGGAAGACGAAAGCCAGTTATTCTACGGTTGATTCAGAAACCTACACCGAAGGATTGCAGGGTAGAAATGGCGACCGCGGCGGTAGAGAATCGGCAGGTGGAGGATCCGACGGCGCACCGCCAACAAGGCGGCGGCGCCGGTGGCGGGGAAGGGCTCCGGCAATATTATCAGCAGAGGATACAGGATATGCAGCTGCTTGCCCGTCAGAAAAACCACGATCTCCAGCGCCTCGAAGCCCAGCGCAACAACCTCAATGCTCGAGGTTTTTTTAATTTTTATTTTCTTTTTCTTCTCGCGCTTCCTTTTTTCTTTAAATTCGATTGAGGATTTGTGTACTGTATATTTTATTTAAATTACTCAAATTGCAGAAATTGGAAGCAATTTCCTTTTACCTTTAAATTCCATTGAAGATTGCGTACTGTGTATTTAGTTTAAATTACTCGAATTGCAGAAATTGGAAGCAATTTCCTTTTATTTATTTCGCGTACGGCTGTCGATTGTTGACATTAGGATTTAAGTGATGAGTGCTTAGGGTTTATTTGGGGTTTCTGTAGAAAGGTTCTGTTTATCTGTTTCTTTATAGGAATTGAGTTAAAAACTTACTCTGGCATGCTTGAGCTTATTTACTTTCGGTTATCCTTCTCGGGGGTGGGTGGTTGTGGTTCTCTACTTTTGGTTTAAAGAATTTCGCCTTTTCGTGCCATTATTTTCTAGTAGTATTGGATATTGATTAATGGAATAAGGGATTTCGAGGATGGCAGATATGAACAGCCTAAAGATGTACGATTCTGTCGATTCATTATTGATTATGCAAAATATCAAGATAAAGTTTTGTGTCCTATACCTATATCGAGAAGCTTCATTTTATTGTCGTGGATCGGATATTCTTCTAATAATAAAAATAGTTGTCCGATGGTTCAGTTAGATCATTGAAAGAAGAGTTGCAGCTCCTCCAAGAACCCGGATCGTACGTTGGTGAAGTTGTTAAAGTCATGGGAAAATCAAAGGTCCTCGTCAAGGTAACTTGGCCATTTCTGTTTCTAACAGTATTCATTTAACCTTTTGTGGTTTGTGTGTTTATTCATCCCTATAAAATACGTGTGTCTTCAGTGTGAGAACCTCATTATATGCATATATATGTATGTTTTCAATGCGAGAATCTCATTATACACACATATGTATACCCTTATATACATCTAAGGCGTCTCTCACTCCCTCTCTCCCCCAGTTGGGTGGGGTCGAAATATAATTATTTTTCCGATGGATATTTTCAGATACTGTTTTTGAGTAATCTAAAGGGAGATAACGTATTTAAAATGCATTAGGAAACATTTTAGTTAATACTGATATTGGATTCTTGCTAGGTAAATCAGAGGCTCTAGTTTCTCGGCCATAAGACACTAAGCATTTGTCTTTTTGTGCTATCTTCTGCTTAGGTACATCCTGAAGGGAAATATGTTGTCGACATTGATAAGAGCATTGACATCACCAAAATCACTCCTTCAACAAGAGTTGCTTTACGTAACGATAGCTATGTGCTTCACTTGGTTCTGCCGAGTAAAGTTGATCCATTGGTCAATCTTATGAAAGTAGAAAAAGTTCCAGACTCTACTTATGATATGATTGGTGGTCTTGACCAGCAAATCAAAGAGATAAAGGAGGTATATATCTTGGATTTCTACAATTTTGAAATCCCGTTTCATCTGCACAAAGTCCATCATCTTCATTTTGAAGTTCTCTTATGTTTTATAGGTGATCGAGCTTCCAATCAAACATCCTGAATTGTTTGAGAGTCTTGGAATAGCTCAACCTAAGGTAATGTCATCAATATTATGTAATATAGCCTTTATTTCTTCGTATTGAGAATTATTTCTAATCTTTTTATGCCCTTGATATACTGAAGGGAGTCTTGCTATATGGGCCACCCGGGACAGGTAAAACACTGCTTGCTAGGGCAGTGGCCCACCACACTGACTGCACTTTTATCCGAGTCTCGGGTTCTGAATTAGTTCAGAAGTACATTGGAGAAGGCTCTAGAATGGTTAGGGAACTTTTTGTGATGGCAAGGTTAGTCGTTTTTATTTCGAGCATTTGCGTACATGATTTATTTGAAATTTGTCGTCTTTTCTTTTGCCTTGGAAAGCATTTAACGACGTCATTTTGACAGAGAGCATGCTCCGTCGATTATCTTCATGGATGAAATTGATAGCATAGGATCTGCCCGAATGGAATCTGGAAGTGGCAATGGGGATAGTGAAGTTCAGCGAACTATGCTCGAACTTCTCAATCAGCTTGATGGTTTTGAAGCATCTAATAAGATAAAAGTATGCAATGAACCTTCTGCTTTCACTCGTTTCGGCTATTGAAATTCTTAATTTTGACATAACTGCTCTAGTAAATAGATTGAAATTTTATGTATGACTGGCTTGTACAGGTGCTGATGGCTACCAATAGGATCGACATTCTCGATCAGGCTCTTCTTAGGCCAGGAAGAATTGACAGGAAAATTGAGTTCCCAAATCCCAATGAAGATGTATGTGTTAAGTGTATATTTTTACACTTTATCGTACCTTTTTATTTGGGCTTTTGGTGTGTTTTAATGATAATTGGTGCTTAAAAAGTTGATTTATTGTATTTTAGGTACAAATTGAAGAATTGGAAAAGTATGGGGTCAAAACTGCAATTTTGGCGAAAATATGGGTCAAAAGTGAAAATATCAAAATTCTGAAGAAACAAGGCTCGGACCCCCGTCCCAGTTTTAGTGCAAATTATGGGACCCCCGTCCCATACCCCGAAGTTGCGCAGTAAAGGGATTTTAATTGCACAAGGAAACTGCCTTCTTCCCCAAGTTCTTCACCCTATATAAGACCAATCCAAGCACACAATTAGGGATCTTTTGATGCAATTTCAAGAGCAACAAAGCAATAACGAAGACGAAGAATTCGAAGACTCTAAGCATAGATTTATCGTTTATGACTTATTTTATTTGTGGTTTTCCTTTAATCATGAGTAGCTAATTTTCTTATTTCTAGGATTTTATTTGGAACCCTATGTGGGATTTATGAACCCAATTCTATGATTTTATGCAAGTTTTAATTCCGGATTATTTCTTCTACTTGTTTTATTAAGTGCATGAACTTGATCAACTTATGTGCTTTTATGTTATTGTTAATCGCATGAATCGGAAGATCGGGTTAATAATTAGAACTGTGGTAGAAGAGCCTTTGTGATATTAACATAGGAATATAGTTAATCTCTTAGGTAGCCATTATTGAGATTTGTGCTTAATGCTGTGTTCTAGAATTAATTGCATAGGAATATAGTAATTGAATCTAGAGTATTAGAATCGTAATACACGCGGAAGCGGGTTATGATTATTTTAGCATCTCAGGTTAATAATCCGGGTTAATTGCTTGCATAATTGAAGGAATTGGGGGAGTAATAAACACATAGGGAGAAGAATAAAATCCTAGGCTTGCTTATCTTGATTAAATCTTCGTTTTTAATTGCTTTCTTGCTTTGTCTTTTTAATTTGCTTCGTTAATTTAGTTTATTATTCATCTTTCGACTGTGTAGGGTGGGCTTGATAATAATTGGTAGAATTTGGCGTCTAGGATTAGATAATTAAATATTCCCTGTGGGTTCGATATCCGGACTTTTAGTCCACTATATTACTTGTACGATACGTGCACTTGCGTGTAGGTATTCGCCCAACAAGTTTTTGGCGCCGTTGCCGGGGAATATTTTAATTATTTATTTTATTCTAGCTCTAAATTTGAACAATTTTCACGATTCACCCATTTAATTTTCGTTTTATTTTATTTTTGTTTTAGGTACTTTGTATGCACAGGAGACTCGATCTTGCTAGAGAACCGTTTGATCCCGAAATCGAACGTACTTTTCGAGACGCTAGGAGACTTCAACGCGCAAACGATATAATGGAGGACGAAGAACGCAGGGCAGCGGGTAATTTACTCGGAGCCAACGGAAACCAAGTCCAAGACCCACCCCCTCAACTTCCATTACAACCAGCAGTTAGGCCACGGGCACTTCAAGATTACATAATCCCGACTCATGACGGATTCCGCCCGAGCATCCAATATCCACCTATTGAGGCGCACAATTTTGAGATCAAGCAAGGCCTATTGACGATGCTCCAAAATAACGGGCTATTTAGTGGATTGGCGGGTGAAGATCCCCATCTTCACATTGTCAATTTTCTAGATACCTGTAATTCCCACCGTCAAAACGGCGTTTCCCAAGAGGCGCTTCAATTAATTCTCTTCAAGCACTCTTTACAAGGAAGAGCTCGCCAGTGGTTGATGTCCCAAGCCCCCCACTCTATCTCGTCGTGGTCTCAACTCCTCAACCTTTTCATGAAAGTTTACAGCTCACCCGAGAAGGACGAGAGAATCCGACGAGAAATTCATAATTTTTTCCAAGAGCAAGGCGAGCAATTATACGAGGCATGGGAGAGATTTAAAACTCTTTTGCGGCAGTGTCCAACACATGGAGTCGAACAATGGCGGCAAATCCACATCTTCTACCAGGGGATCAACGAGAATGCACGAACCGTTTTAGATGCCTCAACCGGAGGTAATTTTATGAGTCAATCGATACCGGATGCATTTATCATGTTGGATCAAATTGCACAAAATCGGTTTGCTAAGTCAAGCGAAAGGACGGTTAGTGGAGCTAAGAAAATTCCCGGAGTCTTGGAGTTAGATGCAATTACGGCCCTTCAAGCTCAAGTGACCCAAATTGCTCAACAAAATCAACTCCTTCTGCAGCACATCAAAGCAAGTCCACCACAACAAGTCCAAGCAATCGATTCTCCATGTTGTGAAATTTGCGGTGGAAATCATTACACGCTCCAATGCCAACAAGATGTGGAGTCGCTCAACTACGTCAACAACGCGCCTCGCCAGTTCCAAAATCAAGGGTGGAGATCGCAAGGGCAATATGGAGGAAATCAACAAGGCCAAGGATATCAAAGACCTCCAGGCCAATTCCAAAATCAAGCCCCTCCTCAACAAAGCTATCAAGGCAACAATTCACCGGCCCAAAAATCAAACACGGAGGAGATATTGGCCCAATTCATAACCGCTACCCAAGCCTCGTTGCGAAATTTGGAAAATCAAGTCGCTCAATTAGCTTTGAATCAAGAGAACCGTCCGCAAGGAGCATTGCCATCGAATACGGAAGATCCTCGAAAGCAAAAGTTCGAGACGTGCCAAGCTATCGATTTCAAGATCGAGAAAAAAGAAGAAATTCAAGTCAATTCGCAAGCCACTGTAGCCGAATGGGTCGAGCCAATCCCATATCCACAACGATTACTAACGAAAAAGATCGAGGTCGAGACGTGCCAAGCAGTCACCTTGAGGAACGGCAAGAAATTGGAGGAAGCCCCACAAAAAGAGAAGAGAAACACGGTAATCGAGAAGCCGAAAAAGAATGAGGAAAAAGAATCATCTTATGACGAGCCACCATCGACGGTGCCTTCACAAGTCCCTCCAATTCCTTATCCTCAAAAGTTTATAAAGAAGAAGCTCGACGCCGAATATCAAAGATTTTTGGACAAGTTGAAGGAAATTCGCATAAATATTCCTTTCATTGAAGCACTTCAAAAGATGCCAAAGTGGGTGAAGTTCCTCAAGGACCTCGTGAAGAAAAGTAAGAAATTGCAAGGGAACGAGATGATCCAACTCACGGAGCAAATTAGTGCAATTCTTACTCGGCCTCTTCCACAAAAACTCGGCGATCCAGGTAAGTTTACTATTCCTTGTACTATAGGAGGTAAAAATTTTAGATCGCTCATTGATTTAGGTGCTAGCATTAATCTTATGCCGTACTCTACTTTTAAAAATCTTGGGTTAGGAGAAATTGAACCGACGGCTATAACTCTTCAATTAGCCGATAGATCTTTAGTTTACCCCAAAGGTATTTTAGAGAATGTGCTAGTGAAAGTCAATAAATTTATCTTCCCTGTTGATTTCGTTATACTTGATATAGATGAGGATAGGGAGATACCTCTTATCGTAGGGAGACCGTTTTTAGCCACGTCGAAAACTCTCATTGATTGTGCTAGTGGTGATCTTACAATGACTGTGCATGATCAAACAATCAAATTCAATGTTTTTAGTGCTAATAAAAATCCATATGATAATAATGATTGTTTTGCTATTGAGCTTATGGATTTTACAAATAATGAAAAGTTTGATGTTTCGATCTTGGACAATGGGAAAGCATCTTTGAGTGCAGGAGATGATGGCAGAAACGGGAATCGGACGGAGCAAGTTTATTTCATGGACTCACTTTTAAATCCTCCGAGAGAAAGTCATGCGAGTCGAGGTCTTAACAACGATGAGAATGCAAGGAAGATGTTGCCACCCAAAAGCTCGAGCAAGTCAAGAGAGAAGGATGAGTCAAGCTATTGTGGTCGTAAGGAGAAAATCAAAAAGGAATTGCACAAAGGACAATTGGTGTTATTGTGCAAATCCCGTCTTTGGTTATTTCCAAGGAAGCGCAAATCAAAGTGGTCGCGGCCGTTTATTGTCCAAGAAATTCTTCCTCACGAGGTGGTCAAAATAAAGGAGCGCGATTCAAATCGTACGTTCAACATGAAGCGGAGCCGGCTCAAATCGTATTGGGGAGCGAGTGAAGAATGCCAAGTGACCTCGGTCACTTTTGCTTGAAATTAAAGAAGCAACGTCCGGCTGAAGACTTTAAACTTAGCGCTTCTCGGGAGGCAACCCGAGTTTTATTGTTTTTCGTAGTTTTCTTTAATTTTTCGTTTCGTTTTTTATTGTCATAGGCATGCAATCTAATTAATTTATTTGAATTTTAATTTTCAGGGTCGAAAACATGGTCAGGGGGTCGAGACGGCCGTCCGAAATTGCAAGCAAAATCCCGGACGGCCGTCTGGGAAACAGAACGATCAAATCGTCATCTATGTCCATGGGACGGCCGTCCCAAAAATAGGTGTAAATGTGGGACGGCCGTCCCACAACCAGTAACAGGAAAAAAATCTCGGACGGCCGTCCGAAAATCAGCACAAAACCCGGGACGGCCGTCCGACCATTTTTGGGGCGTTTTAACTTAAAAAAATTCGATTTTCTCCCCCATTATTTCCTAAACCCTCCTCTTTCCTTCTCTCAAACTCTCACACACAAAAGGAAGCTTGAGAATCAAACAAAATTCTCCAAAATCTACTCTTTCAAGGCACGCCCACAAGGTGTTTGACAATTTGCTCCAACCAAATTTTGAGTTCGGTTGTCAACCAATTCGCACCGAATCTATTCCAACCTCTCTCCCAACTTTCTCGTCCAACAAAAGAAGCCGCACGAGTGAAGCTTCATCTTCTAAAGGCAAAGGAAAAGGAAAGAAAAGTGCCACCAAACGACGATTCCTCTTCCAAAGCCGCTCCTCAAGCCCGAGACGACCCCGAAACCTCGAGCTCCCGTGCCGATCGACGACTCCCAAAGAAGATGGAGCGAGAGAGCTTTCCGATGATGAGGAGCGTGAGAGAGCTACGGAGGAGCACCCCGATCACATCGACTCCGAATAAATCAGGTGTTTTCTATCCTTAAAACTTTGTGCTAATTTCGTTGAGGGCAACGAAAATTTTAAGTTTGGGGGTGAAAAACATGTTATTTTTGTGCTTATTTGTTTTAGTTTGCATGCATTAGGTTTTATTCGTTTTTATTGTTTTTCTCGTTTTTCCGGAATATAAAAAAAAAAAAAAAAAAAAAAAAAAAAAAAATTGCTTGAGTCGAATGCATCGATGATTTATGATGATGAGAGATGATCAATGTTTGATGATTAAATTGCTTGTTTTATGTGATAAGGATTTAATGTTTGTTTAGCTTTCGATTCAACGGGACTTAGAAGCGAATTATTGCTAGGAATCACACTTTGTGCATTGCTTTGGTTGAATGTTTTGTATTTTAAATTTGGAATTAATTTGTGCTAGATCATGTTATGTTCGGTTTTAAGACTCACCTTAGGAAATTTATGATACGAAGTATTGAGTAGTGAGTGATTTGGGATATGATTTGGGCCTTCTTTGAACCGTTTGAGCCTTTCAAGCCGACCTTTTTATCGAAATATTCCTTAGAACCTTGATTTGAGCCTCGGAGAAAAGGTGTTCTTTCTTTTAGCCATGTGTATAAGGTAGAAAAGTGGAGACTCTTGAAAAATTAACCCTTGAAGTTCGGTCGAAAAAAAAATTTATAAGGTCCTTCTTCTTCTTCTTCGAAAAAAAAAAAAAAAAGAAGACAAATATATATGCTTCTATATATATATTAAAAAAAAATAATAATAAAAAAAAAAAGAGAAAAAAAAAGAAGAAGAAGAGACTAGAAGGGAGAAATAAGGACTAGTTGTTGAAGTATTTTTGAAAACTCGATCCATTATCTCAAAAGCAAAAGTGGAGACTTTTGAACTTTTGAGAATCGAGTATATTAAAGTCCGTAGAGGTGAATTCATTGTTTCAAACGCCTATCTTTAAAATTTTGGCGTGATCACCTAAATTCAAGAAGAATAGCCAAATATACCCATATTTCCTACCTCGAACCAAAGAGCCTAACAATTGAAAGCCACAAAGCCCCAATGATCCCAATAGCTTAATGTTCGATATTAGTAGAGTAGAATAATTTGGTGAGTATTTGGAGTCAAGCATATGCATGTATGTATAAATTCTTTCTATCTTTAATTTGCAAATATTGGATGCTTGAAGCAATTGTATGCATTGTGGTTTTTGGTAATGGTGAGTGACTAAGTGTTGTTGAATTTTGAGCTTGCGAATACCTAAGAATTGTCATCATAATTACAAGTTCTGAAAATGTGAAGTTGATCATTGATCTATGTGATGAGATGTTATAGTTGAGTTATTTGCTTGTTGGTAGTTATTTGCTTGAGGACAAGCAAAAGTTCAAGTTTGGGGGTGTGTTAAGTGTATATTTTTACACTTTATCGTACCTTTTTATTTGGGCTTTTGGTGTGTTTTAATGATAATTGGTGCTTAAAAAGTTGATTTATTGTATTTTAGGTACAAATTGAAGAATTGGAAAAGTATGGGGTCAAAACTGCAATTTTGGCGAAAATATGGGTCAAAAGTGAAAATATCAAAATTCTGAAGAAACAAGGCTCGGACCCCCGTCCCAGTTTTAGTGCAAATTATGGGACCCCCGTCCCATACCCCGAAGTTGCGCAGTAAAGGGATTTTAATTGCACAAGGAAACTGCCTTCTTCCCCAAGTTCTTCACCCTATATAAGACCAATCCAAGCACACAATTAGGGATCTTTTGATGCAATTTCAAGAGCAACAAAGCAATAACGAAGACGAAGAATTCGAAGACTCTAAGCATAGATTTATCGTTTATGACTTATTTTATTTGTGGTTTTCCTTTAATCATGAGTAGCTAATTTTCTTATTTCTAGGATTTTATTTGGAACCCTATGTGGGATTTATGAACCCAATTCTATGATTTTATGCAAGTTTTAATTCCGGATTATTTCTTCTACTTGTTTTATTAAGTGCATGAACTTGATCAACTTATGTGCTTTTATGTTATTGTTAATCGCATGAATCGGAAGATCGGGTTAATAATTAGAACTGTGGTAGAAGAGCCTTTGTGATATTAACATAGGAATATAGTTAATCTCTTAGGTAGCCATTATTGAGATTTGTGCTTAATGCTGTGTTCTAGAATTAATTGCATAGGAATATAGTAATTGAATCTAGAGTATTAGAATCGTAATACACGCGGAAGCGGGTTATGATTATTTTAGCATCTCAGGTTAATAATCCGGGTTAATTGCTTGCATAATTGAAGGAATTGGGGGAGTAATAAACACATAGGGAGAAGAATAAAATCCTAGGCTTGCTTATCTTGATTAAATCTTCGTTTTTAATTGCTTTCTTGCTTTGTCTTTTTAATTTGCTTCGTTAATTTAGTTTATTATTCATCTTTCGACTGTGTAGGGTGGGCTTGATAATAATTGGTAGAATTTGGCGTCTAGGATTAGATAATTAAATATTCCCTGTGGGTTCGATATCCGGACTTTTAGTCCACTATATTACTTGTACGATACGTGCACTTGCGTGTAGGTATTCGCCCAACAGTATGCTACTTGTGTTCATCAATTAATCTCCTTTGTATCCCACCCCTTCCTACTTGTCTAACTTTTTAGAATTATTTCAGTCTCGATTCGACATCTTGAAGATTCACTCGAGGAGAATGAATTTGATGCGAGGGATTGATCTGAAGAAGATAGCTGAAAAAATGAATGGAGCATCTGGTGCAGAACTCAAGGTATGCCTTGCTTTTTTGTTCCCCTAATCGAGTTATGTAGTTGTGTTACTCCCGGCACCCTATAATTCTTCTCAATGGGGTGGATTTTAAACCCTTCTCGTTTGGAGTCATTTTAAATCCGTTTCATTTCTAACCATTCAGTCCGTATGGATCTAATGTATGCCAATAACGAGACATGGAATTGGGTTACATAAACGTTATTATATAAATAATCCATAACGAACAAAAAGAACGAGAATCTGTTTCCATGAAACAAGTCTTGAAGTTTTGTGTATGTCTTTCTTTCGGCAGGCGGTCTGCACAGAAGCAGGAATGTTTGCTCTGAGAGAAAGGAGAGTTCATGTGACTCAAGAAGATTTCGAGATGGCTGTTGCCAAAGTCATGAAGAAGGAAACCGAGAAAAATATGTCATTGAGGAAACTTTGGAAGTAGACTTATATATACACACATACATACGTATATCTCGCAAGTTAAATCTCTGTTTTTTAACGTGGGCGGGTTTACGAACAATGTGTGCACCCAGGTAGAACATAAAATGTTCCCACGCTTGAGAGCTTGTATGTTCTCATGAACTCGGGCGGGTTTGTTATTTTCGTGGGAAGAAGCTATCGAGTTCTGTTCATTGAAATGCTGTTATTATTCCGCTTCATAAGTCTCCAAACTTTTGAAAACAGCACGAATAAACACACGTTATTTAAAAAAGAAAGAAAAAGCAATTAGCACTAATTAGGATTAGTTTCCCGGTTAGAGGTCATAATCTTGATTAATTTATGTTTTGGGCCATTAGCTGTTGGCCCAATATGGAAAAGCAATTAGTGGGCCCACTTAGGTATATCAAATACAATATCTAATTTTATACAATTGCTAGGGATTTTCCTTGTGGATTTTGAATTTATGGAAAAAAGTTTGGGTGAATTACACATGCACCACTAAGGTATGCTAAAATAACTTTTAAGTCCTTATAATATTGATAATTACAATCACCCCTAAAATATTTCAACCATAATATAATAATGCATTGGATAAGTTATGCGGTTAGGGTTCTAACAGATTATTAGTTTCAGACAGTGGTGGAGATAGCATAGAGTTAGGAGGTGACATGACTCTCATAACATTTCTTAAATCATTATTATTTTATATAAGATTTACAAATTTTCGTCTATGGTAACATTCGCTGTAAACAAAAATAGTGCATATCGATCCCCAAAACATGAAACCTTAGCTCTGGTAATTATTTCAGGGGTGTGGTTGTAATTACCAATACCATGGACCTTAAAGTTATTTTAACATACCTAAATCAGGGGTGTAGGTGTAATTTAACCAAAAAAATTCTTTAAATTGTTTATATTATTGAAAAAGAAAATTGCATCTGCCCTAACTAGAAGTTAAACAAAAATCAGGTTAAACCTCCCTTTCCTTTTCTTTTTCCCCTTTCACTCTCCCCAAAAAAAAAGAAAAGAACTATCCATATCATCCCTAACAAACAACGACGTCGTTTTCCTAAAACTAATAATGAAACGTTTACTAAAGAAAAAGAAAAAGCGCTAAAACCCCGACAAAAGAAAAAAAAGCGTGCTTACGTGTTTCCACGTAGACCATCTTATCCATTTCCTCCACCTTCTTCTAACCCGAAAAAAAAGGAAAAAAAATAAAATCTAAATCCCACTCTTCAAAAATATCCCCTTCTTTTTCTCTCTCTCTAACATCAACAAACAATCCATCCATCCATCAATGTCGACCGCATTTCCCGCCTTCCAGTCCCCAATCTTCTCCTCCTCCGCCGCCGCCGCCGCAGCGGCGAACAACCACCGCAGCCTCAAAGTCTCCGCCCAATCCAACAGCTGGTGGTCCCCGCTCTTCGGCTGGTCATCCGACCCAGACTACATCAACGGCGCCGCCGTTAAGATCGAAGCGGGCCACGTGGATTCCGATTCGGGCCGGGCCGGGCCGGACAGGAGCCTTTTCCGTGGCTGCTTCACGGAGGAGAAGGCGAAGGAGCTGCGTAAGAAGACGGTGGAGTTTTCGAATTTCCACGATATTATGTACCACTCGGCGATCGCATCCAGGCTGGCATCCGACGTGTCCGGCGGCGCCGAGCGTTGACTTTGACTTTCCTCCGGTGAGGTGGTCGGAGTTAATGAAAAAAGTATTCCAATTTGTCGACTATGAATTCGTTTAGAAATAATTAGGGCTGTGTTTGGATGGAAATTTAGAGACGCCTGGTGGAGATTGAAGAATGTACTTTGGTGGTGTTGGGATTGCTTTTGAAATTGATTATTGCTAATTTTAATCTTTAATAATCATGTAAAACTAATTAGCAATTCCGTAATCACTTTTATGTTTTCTTGTTGTTAGTAATTCCGATTCCTAATTGATATTATCCTTTGTTTGCTACAACGGATTGAGATATTTTTGGATATTTTGAGTTGAGATTTGCCTTTGAAAGAACAGTAAGGGTATTTTCGGGCATTTCATTTATTTATATAATATTTGTGTGTGTAGGATTGGATTTGCCGTAGGATTGATGAAATTTAATGAATCGATTTTAAACGGTATTAAAAAAATAGCTCAAAATTGGATGTCACTTGCACATTAATAAAATTATTTGAATAATTAAATAAACTCAATTACTTATCCATTTATTTATTATCATAATTAATATGCAGAGATGGTAATTAATTAGCTTCATAGTTTCTGAATTAAATTATGTGACATTATTATTATATCATATAATTAAAACATATTCATCCATGCAAATATTTCAACATCTAAATAATCTACTAATTAAAGTTGTTACTCCAAAAAAAAATATTAAAGTTATAAATTTATCCTTTATTTCAAAAAAAAAAAAAAAATTGAATCTTCACATAATATCTAACTCTTACTCTTTCTCTTATTTATTAGGGTAAATTACGTACACATCCCTGAGATATGCTAAAATAAATTTAAAGTCCTTATAGTATTAGTAGTTACAACCATCCCCCTAAAACATTGTTAGAGACTCTAACAGAATAATGTATTGAATAGTTTTTCCGTTAGGGTTCTAACGAACTCATGCAGTGGTAGAGACAACATAAAGCTAGGTGTGACATGACTCTCCTAACACCTCTTAAATCATTATTATTTGATATTAAATTTATAAATTCGTTTACGGTAGCATTAGTCTCACGGGAAATAAATATAGTGCATATCGGTCACCAAGACATGAAATCTTGGTCCCCATAATTGTTTGACGGGTGTGACTGTAATTACCAGTACAACACGGACCTTAAAGTTATTTTAGCTTTATCTTTTTTTATATATTCGTTTGCTTTATTTAGTATGCTACACAATTACACACTCCCAAGTCCTAAATGCAGATATGGCCTTCTTAAGTTGGGTCGGGTCGGGTCGAGTCGGGTTGGACCCGACTCCAAACATGGACCTATAGAAAGCCCAGATCCACTACAGAGTGGAAATAATCAATAAATGTTCTAAGCCCATCTGTATATCGTATTTAAAATATTAAATATTTTACACTTTATTATTATTCTTATTATTATTTTTCTGTTAATTTTTTTTTAATTGTTTTTTTAGATTTTATGCAGACTGTTATATTGAACGTAGAAATATTATTATTTGATTTCGGCATACATATTCGTTCTAAAAAGAGAAGATCAATTATTAAATTTGTGCACGTATAATTATTAGTAATAATATTAATAATAACGATTATTATTTATCATTATTATTAAAATTGTTGATTAATAGTATGCAGTATTTATATTTTCATTACCTGGACTAATTACGATTAAGAATAAAAAAACAAAAAATACAGACACATGAAAATAATTGTTGGACCACAAAATCACTAATTGGCCATGTTACTGTATTAATTATTAAATATATTACACAATTATTGCCGACCAAAAATGAACAAGCGTAGACTGAAATATAAGACCACTGACAATTAATTCAATTATTATTATTTAATTTAATTATTTCTTAATTTCTCAATCAATATATTTAGCTGCACATGGCTGCACAGTATATCAGATCTTGGAATGGTCCCTTTTTTAACTTTATTTATTTATTACATTTTTATTTTTAAATCTGATTTTTTGATAATTCTTCTGACACGTCCCCACAATTATAATTAATTATACGAATAAAATATTGGGAGTAAATATCCACATTAAAAAGAGGATCTAAATTAATTTTGTCCTGCTGAGCAAAATTTGTATCACCTTCCTCGAAGCAATCATAATTTAATTTTGTCACAGGCATGCACGTGGCACATGAGGGTTGTTTTAGTAATTTCATCACATATTTCTTATTTTTCCTTTTTTTTTTTTCTGGACAAAAAATTAAAACCCATAATTGGTACTTGCATTACTTTAATTGCATTTAAGAAAAATATTTTTCTTTTGAAGAAAAAAAACTAAATTAATTCCTTAGTTTAATGAATTCTTACAGATTTATAAGAATAATTGAAACCAAACGTATATCGATCTTTTGCGATTTTACATTATTTCGTGTCGAAATATTCTACACGATTTCCAAATCTTTTTAGGTAAAAATTCAATATATTCCATCTTCGAAGTTCCAATAATACACGAAAGATAATGAAGAACCAAAGAATCAAGAACCGGACTTGAAATGACTAAAATGCCCCTCGACGGACCACAAAACAGTTTGCCGGGAGAATCATGTGTTGTGAAAATGGTATGTCTGCAAACTGCCCTGGATAAACCCTAACCTTAATTAATTTCAAAGGTTCGATTTATGTACTTTGATCATATTAAATTAATATTGTTACTTAAATGAAGCTAATTAAACACGTATCCATCATTATTTTAATTATTAATACCCACAACCCCAGATATTCCCCCCACCCTGTAGAATTATGACGGGTTGATGTAAACGGTATTATATATTTTCGTAAAAAAAATTATACATGAATAATTAACTAAAAGTTCTTCGTATGTATGTATCTGTTATTTATGTGTCTATTTCGAAAGAATAATATAGGAAAATACTTAATTTGGATAGTATTTCAACAAGACAGTAAGACCAAAACTTAATCGAGACAATAACTCGGTTCTTTCTCTTGAAGAAAAAATTTGCCTCGTGCAATTACTCTCGATTATAGCAATTAGACCATAAGTTTACTGCCGAAATTCATTGACAATCTTTTAATTTATAACATTTTTGTAATAGTGTAATGTATTAAAATACATCATGAATAACTTCCAACTCTAGATTAATGGTCAAAATGACTATTTTTTCACCTCATATTTTCAGGTTGGAATAAATTAATAAGAAAATATAGTGGCAATCTTTGTAAATTTGTCCAAAAAGGAGGGTCTTCTCATTGACAAAATTGCATAAAAGCCCTTCCAATCCTTGTCCATTTGATTCAAAACATCTCATTTTCTTCTTCACCCCAAATAAAAACACACACAAATACACACACACAGAGATACATACAGAGAGAAGTAGACAAGATGAAGATAGTAAACATTTTGGTAGTGCTATTGTTTGGCAGTTTCAGCATTGCATTATGCTTCACTACTGATGGTAATTTTTCAACTCTTTATTATTAAAATAATTTTTTTTTTCCAACATTATTTTTTTTAATGCGAGTTTAATTTTAATAATTATATATTTTTGGATAAATTTATAACTTTAATATTTTTTTTTGGAGTAACAACTTTAATTAGTAGATTATTTAGATGTTGAAATATTTGCATGGATGAATATGTTTTAATTATATGATATAATAATAATGTCACATAATTTAATTCAGAAACTATGAAGCTAATTAATTACCATCTCTGCATATTAATTATGATAATAAATAAATGGATAAGTAATTGAGTTTATTTAATTATTCAAATAATTTTATTAATGTGCAAGTGACATCCAATTTTGAGCTATTTTTTTAATACCGTTTCAACATGTTTTTTTCGAAAATTATCTTCTTAAATCCGAAAATCTCGATTTTTTTCCAGGACTATTACCGAACGGCAACTTCGAGTTCGGACCAAAGCCATCCCAGCTGAAAGGTACAAAAGTGACGGACCCACATTCGATACCGGATTGGGAAGTTTCCGGATACGTGGAGTACATAAAATCCGGCCAAAAACAAGGCGACATGATATTGGTGGTCCCACAAGGAGCCGCGGCCGTCCGATTGGGCGACGAAGCTTCGATCAAGACCAAGAGAGTCAAGGTCATAAATGGGATGTTCTACTCCGTCTCGTTCGGTGCTGCGAGAACTTGCGCGCAAGAGGAGAAATTGAACGTGTCGTTTGCACCGAATAAGGAGGAGAAAGATTGGGGCGTTTTGCCGATACAAACGGTGTATAGTAGCGATGGTTGGGATTGTTACTCGTGGGGGTTTTTGGCCCAATCCGACGAAATTGTGATCACCTTTCATAACCCGGGAGTCGAGAAGGACCCGGCTTGTGGCCCGCTTATCGATAACGTTGCACTCAAGGTGTTGCGTGCCCCTATTAGGCAAAGAGGTGAGAAAAATATTTATACTCGTCATGCATTAATCAAAGAGTCGAAATTGGAACGAAATATTTGAATTCTAGCTATTTCGATCACGAACATATGTTTTTGGAGAAATTACAGTTTCCATCCCTCAAGTTTCCACCGATTTCACATTTGGTCCCCCATGTTCACAAAAAACACTTTTGGTCCCTCATATTCCAGTAATTTCACACTTTTGGTCATTGCCGTCAATTTACCCTTACTCTGTTAGTAAATGCATTGATGGGCACACACTTGATTACGTTAGTTTTAACGGGAAATTGACGGAAATGACTAAAACTGTTGAATTGTTTAAACATAAGGCACCAAATGTGTTTTTTTTTTAATATGGGAACCAGATATGAAATTGGTGCAAACTTGAAGGACAAACACTATATTTTTCCCATATGTTTTTGTTGTAATTTCCAAAATTTTGATTTTTTTTTTTTCGGAATTGTTTTTTAATCGGATTTTGAAATTATGATTTTGAATTCGATTTTAAATTTCTGAAAGAAAAATCAAAAAAATTACATTTATAGTACAACATGATAGGTATTTTACAATAAATCTATTTCATATTATTGTTATTAATTATATTCCAAATATCTAATATCCCAAGATACAATAAATGCAGGTAACATGTTGAAGAATGGGAACTTTGAAGAGGGTCCATACATTTTCCCCAACACAACATACGGTTGTCTAATTCCTCCGAACATCGAAGACGACCACTCCCCTCTACCCGGATGGATAATTGAGTCCCTCAAAGCCGTAAAATACGTAGATTCCGACCATTACGGGGTGCCCGAGGGCAAACGGGCAGTCGAGTTGGTTGCCGGAAGAGAAAGTGCCCTAGCTCAAATAGTGAAAACTGTGCCCGGAAAAACTTACGATCTTTATTTCTTATTGGGGGACGCGAAAAATTCTTGCGAGGGGATGATGACCGTTGAGGCGGCCGCGGGCAAAAATTCTCTTCAATTCCACTACGAATCGAAGGGCGCCGGTGGATTTCAACGTTCGAAATTGAGGTTTAAGGCAGTGTCAGTTCGTACTAGGGTTAGGTTTTTGAGCATGCTTTATCACATGAAGAGTGATAATACCGGGTCTTTATGTGGGCCCGTGATTGATGATGTGAGGTTAGTCGGCGTTCGGAATCCGGGTCGGGTTTGATTGGGAAATATATGATATGATTATATGTAAATCACATGGCTTGTTGTATGGTTTCTTCTTCATCATATGAATTATTTAATTCAATATTATTAGGATCACAAATATTTGATCCTATGTACTTTCTTCGTTTAATTTTTCAAGTCATGTTCAAGGTAGACACACAAATTAAGAATTACATACAATATATTGCATCCATATTAGTAGAAAAAGACCTAATTGCCCTTTACACATATTAAGAAATATCAAATGGTCTTTACTAATAATATGAGAGAAAAAATTGAATCGAGGGAGTATAAAACTTTGATCGTATTCGGATAAAGTGGAGTAAAAATTAAATCGTTTGAGAGGTGGGTTCGATTTTACCCGATTCCATTCCGATTCCATTCTAGACCAAGTCTTGGAAATGGGTGTACACGTTTTATTGGACCCGAAATGAATCTATAGACCTATTGCTCGAGAGTGAACGTTTGTTTACTCAGCGTACCTACATATAGTTGTCAGTTCCTTCAGTACCTACCGGAAAAGAAACAAAAAATTGATTGGAAAATTTGGGCCCATTAGAGTGATAACGTGTTAATTGGGCTAACAAGATCTTAATATTAAAGGTAAATATATTTAGCTTGAAAAGCCCAAATAAAGTATTGGCCCTAAAATGTATCATTAATGCCCTTTTTAGACTACATTTGTGAAATTAATGTTGAAAATGAAAGAAAATGAAATCTATTTGGACCAGTTTGTAAATAATGCGGTTGTATGAAGCTGATTGATAGGTAAATACGACGACAAATGAACAAAATTAATTAAATTTTCCAAGACAAATATTTTCTCTCTCCCACATGATGGGAAGCCCAACTATTCATCTTAAATTGTATCACTATTATTTTCCAATTAATTGCACAATCGACATTGTTAGTAGCTACGATATTTCCTTATTCATAATACGATTTTCTGTCGTTCCGCAAGTTCAAATCCCTTTGCCAACGGCCGTTAGATCGAATTTGTCACACATAGTGATACGAACCCCGTAGAACTTGTTACGAGACCCAATACCCTACGCGGAAGCAAGATCGAAGACACCCAAAAACAAAGATTCAAGTTTGGCGGAAGCAAGGAACAATGACCCCATAGCTATCAAGAGCTAGAAACCATTATTATCAAGGTGAAATATAATATTGACCCCGTGGTTATAGAGAACCAGAAACCAATACTATGGCGCTAAGAAAGTTACAAGAATCCACTTGTAAAATTCCGAAGAATGCTGTAGAACAGCGAAGGAGAATTGATCTCTCAAAATACTCAAATATTTAATAAAATTCGTCTTATAAAATAAGCCAAATTGGCAACCTATTTATAAGGTCTAAAAAGACTCCTTTTTCACAAGGAAAAGGACTCCTACCTAAACTATAATAAGGAAATAAATAAATAAGCAAATCCTAACCATAAAGGACTCTAAAATAATAAGAACATAATAAAACCTAAATTAAAAACGTGCATAAATAAATTAAATAACTTGATCTTCAAGTCGGCTTCTCGATCACCCTTCTAATCTCGCGACATTGGGCTGTGCACGTGCATGCAATTAAAGCTCAATTTCGACACTGTTCCACTTCGAATATCTCTTCGCTCAAAACATGAAAGTTGTAGATCTTTCAGTTAGCTTTCCGAATCATTTTGAATCATCTCAATCGGACTTCGGATGCGAGAGTTATAACCCGAATGGTAAACTCTGCTAGAATAGGCGAGAATCTCGGATGCATGGAATTCGACTTGTCCAACGAATTCTTCTCTTTCTTTTCTTCCAATTCCAAACCATAGACATCGCAAACAGTTGATTCCAGCCTTTCTTCTCCAAAGAAAACTCGAATGTCCTCTTAAAACTCGTACGCTTGCGCTTCTTCCAATTCTTTGTCTTGGAGCTTATGCGGATCGTATCATTCTCCCCCTCTTTAAAAGGATTCGTCCTCGAATCCGGACAAATATCACAAGGAGTATAAACAAAATTGACTTCATGATCAACCTCCCTCTTTGGCAGCATACTAACACATCGTTGCACCACATCGCAGAACACACCATCTTGCAGCCATTGAAATGTGTACGAACATGGATATTTTGTAGCTCGAGTTCCCAATGTGTCCAACCTCTGTATAGAGAATGGATGAAGCATCTCTCTAGGCACTGCCATCTCCTCAACATTCACACTGAGAGTTTTCACTTTTCTTAGCTCGGCATTAACTTCGATGCATGGCTGGCTCATATCATTCTCCACCTCTTCAAAAGGATTCGTCCTCGAATCCGAACCTTCTTTTTCTTCAAGTGGTGGCGCGGGTTTGCAATTTTCTTCCCCCTTGGACTCAACCTCAACATTCTCACTTAAATTTTCCTCAAGCAGCGGTTCATCACTTGCTGAATCGCCTACAATGTTCCGATTCTCAAAAGCTTGACGAGTATTTTCCTTTCCAAATGATGATAAAGAATCACCCTTTCTCTTCAATTCCTTGTAGTCCGACCGCAAATTCATGAATGGCTTATCCAAACAATCTGAAGCGACATGACCAAAACCCAAACACCAAAAACATTTAGTATCATGAATTGAACGAGATTGAGAAAAATAATAACCTCTTTCTTTAGTCTCATATGGAGGATCGAACGTGGCCTCTCTCGGTATTGATTCCCTATCTCGGTTTGATGAAGAGCTCCACCGTGATTTTCGACTCGGCGATCTCTTTTCTTTTAACTCAGTAACTTGCCTCAAGCTTTGCATCTTCAATTCCCTATAATAATGGGCAGGAACAAATCTCTTCCTCATAACTGCCTTCATGGACTCCCAATCATCAATTGGTGGTTCACCACAACGCCGCCTAGTTAAGACAAATTGGTCCCACCAACTAATTGCATAGTCAATGAATGCTTCGACGACGAGCTTCACTTTCTTCTTTTCGGAATAGTAATCACAATCGAATACGTGCTCAACCTTTCTTTCCCATTGAATGTACGCCTCGGGATCACTCTTACCTTGAAAGGGTGGTATAATCAATTTCATTGAGCTACGGTTTTGATAAAATCCATCTCTTTCTCGACCAAAATATCCCCGGCTCGATCTATCCAATCCAGACCCTCGTCCCATACTCTCCCTCCTTGATTTTGTAGCGTTAACACCAAAATTTCCATCACGATCTACCTCTTTATCGGGATAAGGTATAACTGGTTGGTGAACATCACGTCGTACGTACGGCCCTCGAACATGTTGATCTTTGCGTAGTTCCTTTAGTTGGGTAACAATTCCTTCCATCCGATCTTGGAGTTCTTGGAAGCGTTTGTCCATTGGCGACATCCTACGCTGCTGAATTCTTTCTCCTTTATAACCGGCCTTCTCGGACATGATCAATACAATTTTTTTTTTTTGACACTAACAAACTCTAAATTAGACTCTAAGAAATTGTAAAACAAAGAACAAAAATTCGTTCTTCTTTTCTTTTTTTTTGTATATTTTTTTTTTCCTTTTTTTTTTTTGGACTCTAGACAAAACCTATTTTAGACTCAAAGAAACTCAAAACAAATAACCAAAAATTCGATTTATTTTTATTTTTGACTCTAAACAACTGAACGAAGAATAAAAGAAAAGAGGACTAGAAGACTCGACAAAAGACAAAACAAAACTACGATGACACGAACAAGACTGACTCAAAAATAAAGATAAAGATAGGTGAAACCTGTTTTGGATGTTGGCTCTGGTTACCAACTGATACGAACCCCGTAGAACTTGTTACGAGACCCAATACCCTACGCGGAAGCAAGATCGAAGACACCCAAAAACAAAGATTCAAGTTTGGCGGAAGCAAGGAACAATGACCCCATAGCTATCAAGAGCTAGAAACCATTATTATCAAGGTGAAATATAATATTGACCCCGTGGTTATAGAGAACCAGAAACCAATACTATGGCGCTAAGAAAGTTACAAGAATCCACTTGTAAAATTCCGAAGAATGCTGTAGAACAGCGAAGGAGAATTGATCTCTCAAAATACTCAAATATTTAATAAAATTCGTCTTATAAAATAAGCCAAATTGGCAACCTATTTATAAGGTCTAAAAAGACTCCTTTTTCACAAGGAAAAGGACTCCTACCTAAACTATAATAAGGAAATAAATAAATAAGCAAATCCTAACCATAAAGGACTCTAAAATAATAAGAACATAATAAAACCTAAATTAAAAACGTGCATAAATAAATTAAATAACTTGATCTTCAAGTCGGCTTCTCGATCACCCTTCTAATCTCGCGACATTGGGCTGTGCACGTGCATGCAATTAAAGCTCAATTTCGACACTGTTCCACTTCGAATATCTCTTCGCTCAAAACATGAAAGTTGTAGATCTTTCAGTTAGCTTTCCGAATCATTTTGAATCATCTCAATCGGACTTCGGATGCGAGAGTTATAACCCGAATGGTAAACTCTGCTAGAATAGGCGAGAATCTCGGATGCATGGAATTCGACTTGTCCAACGAATTCTTCTCTTTCTTTTCTTCCAATTCCAAACCATAGACATCGCAAACAGTTGATTCCAGCCTTTCTTCTCCAAAGAAAACTCGAATGTCCTCTTAAAACTCGTACGCTTGCGCTTCTTCCAATTCTTTGTCTTGGAGCTTCTGCGGATCGTATCATTCTCCCCCTCTTTAAAAGGATTCGTCCTCGAATCCGGACAAATATCACAAGGAGTATAAACAAAATTGACTTCATGATCAACCTCCCTCTTTGGCAGCATACTAACACATCGTTGCACCACATCGCAGAACACACCATCTTGCAGCCATTGAAATGTGTACGAACATGGATATTTTGTAGCTCGAGTTCCCAATGTGTCCAACCTCTGTATAGAGAATGGATGAAGCATCTCTCTAGGCACTGCCATCTCCTCAACATTCACACTGAGAGTTTTCACTTTTCTTAGCTCGGCATTAACTTCGATGCATGGCTGGCTCATATCACATAGTTAGTCTAGTGTGGTTTACATCCCTCGTATACTTTGCAAGCAATTAAACGAGAGTGTAGATTTATCCAGCGTACCTTTATAATTGGTTGCAGAATTTATGGCGTTTTCCGTCTCGATAGAATCGAACGAAAGATGGAGAAATATAATAACAAAATAGTACTATAATAATCATAATTATACTAACAAAATATTATACTCAAAGTTCATTTCGCATTAACTTATTTGTTGAACAATTCATTGGGTTATAAATAATACAAAAATACATTATTGTGACATTATTAATCTTCAATTATCAGATAGTTTTAATAGTCCATCATATTTCAAAAATTCATTCCGCGTCGAACACATAATTCTATCGACTTTATTCTAATTGGTCTTGGATATTTAGATATTTAACATTGTTGAAAGATGTTGAATATTCAAAATAATAGATAAAAAAATTGAAAAAATAAATAAAAGAGGGGACAACTTTAATAGTGTGGAAATTGAATTGCCCTAATCTTGTCCCAAGTCTACACAAAGTTATGTTGAAAGGAATAATCAAGATAAGCAAGAGTTGGCACTTTCAACAGTATGGAGATTGATAAAAGTCATCCCCACACATTAAATTCAATGTCCCTCAGGTTTTAAATTAGAAAATATTAATTTAATTTCTTTTTATTTATGTAAAATTAAATATTTTTATTATTATTTTTAAAAATAAATAAAAAAAGAAAATTACATTTAGAATATGAATTATTAGTGGGCCTTGAAATAGATGAGGCTTTCATACAGTTGAAAAGGCCCAGTAAAAAAGATAAGACAAATTTAATTTAAAACAAAAAAAAAAGGAAAAAGATGTAGGAAAGTTTGACTTGGAAAATGTGAACCTATGGACTATTTATAGGCTAACTTTTACGTTGTATAATGCCAACTATGAAATACAAATAGTAACGAATATGTAAATGCTCTTTGCGTGATCTTTGTTTAATTTTCTTTATATATATATATACTGAAATGTAAAATGTCGTTTCAATTTTACTAATATTGTTTCGATTTCGAACAAGATTTTGACAAAATTCAAAGCATAGAAATTGTAGTCATTTCAGATAGCTTTGTTATTCAACTTGAGTTACCTCAATTGGATGTCGGATGACAAAGTTATGTATGTACAAATTACATTTTTATATTTTAGATAACTCAAAATATCGAAGTAATTGTAAGCAATAATCAATACCGATCCATTCATATTTTTCTCATCGAACATTTAGTGTTGGTGATTTAAGTCGAAAAAGAAAGCTTACTCAAAAAATACAAATTCCGTGTTTTGAATTTCGCTAAATTCAAATCCGAAAATTGTCACAATCACGCCTGAAGTCGAAACAACATTATTAAATGGCTATTCATAGACAATGACGACTATACATCGGATTGATACACATGGTAATTGTCTATTGATGTCATTATTTGTTATTACCACTACATTAAATGGCCATTTGAGGCCAAAAAAGTAAAAAATAAATAAAAACTATTTTATTATATATTTTAATATAAGGAACCAAATATTTCAAGATAATTAGTTAATAAAATAAAAAAAAATTAGTACAACCCAAATGAATCAAGAATAATTCGAGTTATGCAATCGAACGAGGCCTTATTATATTGCAATAAGGTTAATTATTGCAATTTTCAAAAAAATAAAATAATACCGATCAATAATGACATAAAATATAAAAATATATAATGTCAAGAAGAAAAAGACATTTGCCTGAAAAGTAGAGAAGTGAAAAGCAAAGCAAAGCATGGTTTTAAAGAGACAAAACATTGGTTTAGTTCCATAATTTTATTTTATTTTCCCTTCACTTCTTTTGTGACCATTAAATTAATAAATAAATAAAAATCTTATATAAATCTATATTTATATATACACATATATTATTTTTAAAAAAATGAGATTTTATAAAGAATAAATAAATATTTACTTGTGACAACATGCCGCAAAAGTGGTTATCTCTGGTCGGTATAACAGACAAATCCGATGATGCTCCACTTTTATTTTCTATTTAATTATTTTTTTTGTAATTTTTTTTAATTTTTTAAATTTTTTATTGTGGAAAATAAATAATAATCCACCTTTTGTTGTTATCTTATCGTTGGTGCATGCGAAGCGAAACATATGTAGGCTGCTTTATTACTTTATAGTTAATACATATTAGCTTTGCATTAGCCTAATCATGTTTAATAATTAATTAATTAATTATAAAGGGGATTTAAATTTTAGGGCTCGAGATAAATATAATTTATTTTTCGAACCGGTTTAAATTTTAATTAAATTATAATAATTTAAATAACCGTGAAAATACATTGATGAGCATAATTTAATGCTTGTTTTCAGGAATTAGATTTTGGGGTTTATATATTTATTTATTGCAATAAAATTTTGTCATATCTGAATTTACACAGGGAGCAAATCATGGGGAAATTTGTCTATTATTTTAATTTAATTGAACAAAATTTGAATACCTAAGTTACAAGATGATGATATAGACGTTGTTATAGATCTATAGATAATTGAATAAAAACTAATTAAATCAATATTTTATCCATCTAAAACACAATCAATTGTCACATTGTCTGAAAACTCCCCAAACAATAAAAAAAACATGGTGTACTTCATTTTGAATTAAGTTTCCTAGTGTCAAGTCAATTAACCACCAAATTTATGTCTTAAACTAAAAAATAAATGTACTCCTTCTCTTTGTAATTTATTGTCGTTTTTCGATATTGCACCAAGTATTAAAAATCTCGATAAACGTATCTTGATTTTAGGGGAAAAATATACTATGTAGGCTAATATATTCTTGATTATTTAATAATGTGAAAGAGAGAGTTAGGACTTAAAGCTGAATTAATAATGTTAAAATATGAAAAATATATTTAATTTATATTGGAAAAATATAAAGTGATACATAATATGGAAAAAAACTAATTTTAAAAAGTGACATTTATTGTGGAAGATATGGAGTACTTAATTGTCTTTAACATAAGGGTAAATTACAACCACCCCTGAGGTATGGTTAAATTACGAAAACCCCCCTTTTATTTGGACAATTACAACCACCCATCAACTATAAATCTTCTTACAAGTCCACC